AGCTTTGTTTGATGTCCTCCACCTGCCTGGGTTGCAATTTTTTTTTAAGCATCTTAATTGCGGTATAATTTACATGCCATAAAACTCACCTATTATAAGCATATGAGTCAGTGTTTTAGTAAATGTATAGGGTTGTGCTACCATCACCACAATACAGTTTTAAGAACAAATTTCCATCATCCTAAAAGATGCCCTCGTATCTGTTTGTAGTCTAATCCCTGTTGCCACCCCCCAACTCCAGGCAACATCTGTTCCACTGTGTCTCTATAAATTTGTTTTTCTAGACATTGCATATAAAAGCAATCATCCAATATGTCTTTTACATCTGGCTTCTTTCACTGAGCATAATGTTTGTGAGGTTCCTCCATATTGTAGCCTGTGTGAGTGGTTGCATCCTTTTTACTGCCAAATACTATTCCATTGTCTGGATATACCACGTCTTGCTTATCCATTCATCAGTTGATGGGCATTTGGATGGCTTCCAGCGTGGGACTGTTATGAATACCACACTGTGGACATTCGTGTGCATGTCTTTATGTAGAGTCTGTTTTTTATTTCTCTTGAGTAGATTTCTAGGAACAAAACTGCTGGGTCCTATGATAAATTCATGTGTAACATTTTGAGAAACTGTCAAACTGTTTTCCAATGGTGCTGTACTGATTTACATCCCCGGCAGCAGTGCATAGGGATCCTGGTTTCCCTGCATCTTGGCAACACTTGGTTGTACCCTGTCTTTTGGTTACGGCCAGCCTGGTGGGTGTAGAGAGGTCTCTTTGTGGAGCTGCACTGTGCTCTTATTCCTCAACTGGGGTTTGACCTTTTCAGCCAAGGGTTGGCAAACTTATTCTTTAAAGGGCCAGATAGCAAATGTTTGGGGCTTTGTGGGCCACATTTGATTTTATCACGTATTCTTTGACTTTTCTTATTTTGGGAGTTTTTTTTCCCCTTCACAACCCTTAAAAAAATGTAAGAACATTCTTGGCTTCCTTGCACAAAAACAATAGGGAGACAGTTTCAAGGCTCCTGTCAGAGGAATCCAGCAGTCCGTCCACGCCGAACACGGCAGAGGTCAGCCAGCCCTTCTGGTGACATAGTCACAGTGGAAGGACTGTACTGCAGAGCCCAGGTCTGGGCCCCCAGGAGCCTGGGAGTCAGGGTTCCAGAGGCGTTTCCAGCCCAGCCCCACTGTGATTCATCACCAGATGAGCTCATCAGAGTTCCTGGGACCAAACGTGCTAATTTGTCACCCAAGGTGGAGTGACTGGGCCCCCATGGTCCTGGACAGGCCTCCCGCTGCCCTGTTCCAGGGCTCAGAGCCTCCTCTTGGAACTGGCTGCCTGCCCACAGCCCATGACCATGATGTTGCAGCTACCCTGTCTACCTGCTGCTCCCACCAGCCCCTCCTGCAGCTCCTCCACCCCCTATCGGCTGGCCCCTGGCTCTCTGAGCCTCGGGGATGTGTTCTAGCCCTCACCCCATGACACCAAGTGTTCTTGACCCCTTCCCCACAGTGTCTCTTGGCGAGTCTGTCCCTCCTGTCCACCATCTGTGCTGGCCCTGACCGATGTGATAGAAAGAAGGAGACCTCTGGGGTCTACTGGAGCCGATTTGTACTTGTGAATTGTCCCTTTCTAGCTGTGTGACCTTGGACAAGTCATGTCACCTCCCCAGCCATGGTAGTCTTGTGTGTAAGTGGGATGCTAGAGCCTGTGGCAGGAGCTGCAGGTGCCCCACCCTCTTGGCCTCACTTTGTCCTAAAGGCTGTCCCCTGGGAACTAACTTCCTTCCTTCGTACTTTCCTTCCTTCCTTCCTTCCTTTGGGTTTTTTTCCTGGCTGTGGAGGCACTTTGGCCTGGGCACAGGGCAGCCTGAAGGTCTGCCATGTCCAGGAAGGTGGTAGGTCAATGGCACAGCTCCCTTGCTCCTTAGGTGGGTCAGCTCTGAGGCATGATCTACACTGTCTCACAGAGGCCCCCGCGGGACCCAACCCTCATCCCCACAGTGGGGATGTTGCCAGTTGCCCAGGCATACGGTTGAGGATGCCGTGGGAATTTACTGCCTTCTCTTCCCTATCTCACTACCCACCCTGCACTGATGTGTCATACGTTACCTCTCAGATAAAGGAACCGTCTGCACTGGGGGCCTTGTCTGAGGGTCTGCTCCCAGGGCGGGCAAGCCTATGGCAGGCCCCCAGCCCCTCAGGTTACTGTGAGGATAGAGTGAGATGATGCCCCTCTGGGCTCAGCACAGCCCCTGGTGCTTCGGAGTACGTGCTCGTTAAACACTGGCCCTTATTCCAGCCCTGGGGAACTTCTGGTCTTGACCGCAGCCTCTGTGACCACTCTTCTAGGGACACCTCTGAAGCGGAAGCTCAGGTGCTCGTGGGAAAGCTGTTGTCCCCCTTAGTCTGCTGAGGGGACGACGTCAGTGAGCGCGGAGGCAGGTGGCACCCTGTGGGCCCTTTTGTGTGGGCCTCACTGTCTCCGAGTCTCGGCGACATCCAAATTCAGAGAGCTGGGGACATGGGGACGGTACGCACGGCCACCCACCCCCACGGGCTGGCTGTATTCCGTGAAGTTTAAATGAGGGCTGCCTGAAACAGTGCTCACCAAAAATTGATGATGGCTCTTTGTAGGCTGTGGGATTTTTGAGGCCTTTTATCATTTATCCTCTTGTTTGTGCTTTTCAGCATGGTTTAAATATCATACAGTGAGCATGCCTGATTTTCACAAAAAGAATGAAGTCATTATTCTTTCCAAAGTAAACCACTTGCAGCTGATTAGAAGAATGGGCACTTACAGCCCAGACCATATTCCAGGCTAGAAGCTACAGTGGGGAGATGTGGCTGTGTGTCGTTGTGGTTTTCTTTGGGGCTTAATATATGGTGGGTTCCTGTGACCATCTCATGGTCATTTAAAAATTAAGCAATTCTCTGGGCACAGAGCAAAACCGCAGTGTCCAGGACTCAGAGGAGCATTCATCCGCGGAGATGGGTCAGGTTCTTGCCTTGGAAGTGTCTGCACTGCCTGTGACTTCGGGCACTTTGCATCTGCATAGACCTGGCAGAATTCCTGGCTCACAGCGGGGCAGGAGACTCTGGCTGGCAGTAACTAGAACCAAGTCTGGTTACAGTCCCAGGGAAGCCTCAGGGAACTGGGTGTGTCTTGTCCTTCAAGTCATGGGGTTCAGCAAATACTGACTGTCACCATCATCCCCATGGATAGCATATTTACTGTTCACTACCCCACCCCCTGAACTTGCCACGCATTTCTTCCGGTCCTTATAGGATCTAAAGTGATTGACAAGTAAATGTCTCCACTCTTCCTCATTCCCCACTTGATGAAAACTGTGCTGTCTTTACGTCAATGGCTGGTAGAGAGAGAGGGAGGGAGGGAGGGAGGTGGGGGAGGCAGAGTTTAGAGGGAGGAGGGAGGAGGGAGAGACCAAGTACGGAGATTTACGGGAGAAAAGATCTGCACACTGAGGGGGAAATAAACTTAAGTGTGAGTTAACTCAGCGGGTGACGGGTGACAGCGTGGGTGCGATGGGGTGTGATTAGCAAGTAAGAGGCTCCAGAAAATCAGGGAGTGAGAAAAAAATGGGAGAAAGAAAATGGGATACTGTCTGTATCACTGTGGGTTGTACATTTCATCCCTTTAAAGTTTTTCAAAAGAGACAAGTTAAGCATCTGGGTTCCCTTTTTGTTATAGGACTGTTCTATTTGGACTGTGCTTTTGAGTGTAACTCTGTACAGAGAGCGTACCATGTGGGTCCAGGATTTATAAGGGTTACACGTTGGAGGAGTCCACAAGGTATTTTCAGTCATAATTTACAGAAGAGGAAACTGAGGCTCAGGGGATGAAATTGTTCATAGGAAGAACCAGGTCTGTCTGATTCCAAAGTCTGCCTCCTGTTCCACCACGGTGCCTCACTCATCACAATGGACTACTCAGTTTGATGTGGAAGATGTCCCCTAAATGCTTCGTTTTAGACACTGGTTTCCCAGACCCTTTGTAATTCTTAACTCAGAACCTAACTGGTCTGGGAGACCCCAGCGGCCTGCAGAGCTTGTCTTTGAACCTCAGGGGCCAGTGGGAAAGCCTCATCTCCTCCTTCCGTCCTTCAGACTTTGGCTCAGAGATTGGGACATGTGACCCAGCTGGCTGCGGGCTCAGTGACATTAAAATTAGGTTTTCCCCAAGGAGCAGAGCACTTAATGAAGGAGTTTATCCAGTTAGAAAGCGAGACTCCCAAGCAAGCGGGCGGCAGTGGGGCAGGCAGCTGCAGAGCCCAGGGAGCGCTGGCTGAGACCTCAGCCTTCCGAGAGGGCTTCTGTTTCCATGATGTCAGAGGGGCGGAACTCGCCCGGCCTCATGTGGAGGGAGCCGTGGCCCCAGCCTGAGCTGCTCACCAGCTTTGGATGCGGCGCCCCAGCAGAGGTGAGAACACTCCTGTCTCACTCCTCAGGTGGAATGGCCCTGGGCCATTCAGGACTCCGTCCCCACGTGCCCACCCAGCTGGAAAAGAATCCCAGGCCCCAAGGCTGTCTATCGGGTTTCTTAGCTGAGCACCACTCTCCAAGAGGACCTCGTAGGATCAAGATGAGCAGAAACAGTGCCTCCTAATCAAAGTCCAAAGTCCGTCCCTTTGTGGACGGTGAATGCTTCCGCTCTTACTGCATTTGAATACTTGGGAAACAAGTTTGGCAGAAGATAGCGTCTGAAGGAGAAATGTATCTTCATTCCTTCTTTTAAGTCACTGGAAGCGGAGTGGAAATTACTCTTCTAGTGTTCAGGAGGCCTGGCTGTCTGAAACGCAGCCTGCAACTTGAGGCAAGACCCTGCCATCTTGGGTATCGGATTCTCATGGAGGGGGCAGGTCCGCGCCAACAGGTTCTCAGGGCCTTTTACATCCAGTGCGTCTGATTCTTGAATCATCTTGTATCTTACGCCCTCGGCATTTCAGTAACATGTTTGGGTCTCTTTCTCTCTCCCAACCAGAAAAAGATTTACAAATACAAGAAAGTCCTGAGTAACCCAAGCCGTTGGGAAGTTGTCTTGAAGGAGATCCGAACTCTGGTGGACATGGCCCTGACGTCCCCTCTGCAGGATGACTCCATCAACCAAGCCCCACTGGAAATCGTCTCGAAACTGCTCTCAGAGGTAACACGCTTCCCCTTGGCTTGATTTCGCATTATGCCCCCCTCCCCAACTTCGGAGTTGTCTTCCTTTACCCACCCTGAGCCCCACCCCATACCCCAGAGCAGAATCAGATTTGAATCTGTGTTGTCTCCCTGTTGCTGAAGGAAGTGAGTGGTCCCCAGCGATCCAAGGGAGCAGAGAAGGAGGTTTGCCCCCAGTGCTTCCAGCTGAGCCAGCATCCAGGGACGAAGGGAGAGCTGTTGCCACCCTGCTGTGCCCCTAGACCAGATTTGGGACAGGTTGTGGCCAGTTCTGGTCTTGGCCAGAGGCTGGGCTGGTAGTGGTGATGATGGCAGCTGCTTTCAGAATCTAGTTCATTCCTGTGATGGAAGCACATTCGTGAAGCCCTTAGACTGCCCTCCTGCGCCCATGGCGCTGGCCCACCTCCGTCTCCCCGCCCGGTGCTGGCCCGCTTCCATCTCCCCTCCCAGCACTGGAGGTCCAGGCAGACATGGCTTTCTGCTCTAATCACCCTCCTCAGCCGACAGCTATACTTTGTTTCACTCGCACAGGGTTTTAAAAATCAAGAGATTAGACAACAAAATGGAAGTTTTAAGTTCTCTTTAAAAATGGTCAGAAAATCCAGCAGCAGTTGGCAGCTGGTGCTCCTCAGTGCCACCAATCTGAGCTGTCGACTTTGCCGGGCAGCCCCACATGTCAAGTGTGTGCCATGGGCTAGGCTCTGTTCTGGGCTTTTGGATGAAGACAGTCCCCTGCCTTCCTGGGACTCACGCTCCAGCAGTGGGGACAGTGGGACACGAGGCTTAGCAGTCAGTTGGGCTGTTCCGTAGAAGGCCAAGGGGCCTTCAGAAACATCTTGCTATTTACTCTATTCCAGTGCTATTCTAACCGCTTTTCAAATATTAATGTGCTCATTTATTTGCCTGCCTGGCCCCCTAGGGACACTAGAGTCAATGACTCCTGGTTTAAACTATGCATGGCCACCAGAGAGATTTCTGTCTCTCTCCCCCTGGTTCCCACACGCCCTCGGACTCCTGCACATGTTCCCTCCACTCTCTCTGCAGGCCCAGGCTCGTCACTGCCCACGGTCCAGGAACTGGCCAGGCCTCCCTTGTCTGCTGAATGGAGAGGGTCCCTTGCCCTGGGCAGGGGTGGGGCACGAGGTGGAAAGTCGGTGGCCGAGACAGGCGGAAGTAGAGAAGTAGGACTGTCTGTCCTTGGGTGGGAGACCCTTGTTTGCAGAATAGTTGCAACCTGGGCTCTGAAATGAATCATGGTCAAGGTCTGGAATTTGAGGCCAGGTGCCATACGCCCAACCGCAAGTCCAGGTCTCCCACCTAAGCAGGAGCAGCCCATAGGCAGGCCAGGGGCTGGCTTCTTGACTGGAGAAGGGAGAGGCAGCTGACCCTCAGGAAGCACCTGCTATGTGCCAGGCCAGCTCCAGGTGCCATGCACACAGCATCTCATCTGACCCTTGTGTTCTCCCTAAGAGATGGGCCTTGCTGTCTCCATTTCACAGATGGGGAAACTGAGGCCCAGAGATGCTAAGTGACCTGCCAAGTAAGGAGGAGCAGCTGGACATTCCACCTTAGGGCTGTCTGTCTGTCACTTTAAGGCTGCATCACCCACCCCATCAGCCCTACCAGCTTCAGCCACTGTCACACCATCGTTAAGTCAGGCTCTTTGTCAGGATGATGGCAAAGGTGGCAGATGACACTGTGGCCACCCTCTGGCGGGATTTCTCTCCCGTCTCAGATATATTTTATGTGACCACATGCTTGTGTGCTTTGCCTCAGTTCTCAGGCTTTAGATCAAGGATCTCAAAGTCAGCTGATCACCAAGCACTAGGGCAGAGAGACTAAGGCATTTAAAGGGGGAAAAATGGAAGAAGCTTGTATTTGCTGTGCGTGTGCGTCTATTGGGTGTCTGGAGGGGTGGGGAGGGGAGTCAGTATTACCCTTGATTTGCTGATGAGAGCTGCCATTTGTGGGGGACAGAGCCCCCAGGTTGCGTCCCCTCCAGTGAGCTTAATGCCTCTCCAAGTGACACATTTTTTGAGCACGTGCTGTGTGACGATCACATTGGCAGGCATTTACACCTGACCTTTTCCATTTCTTCCAGCGACTCTGCAGGGTAAGGATTAAGACGGATAGGAGAGTCAGCAGAGCTCTGTGGGGTTAAGTCGCCTGCCCAGGGTCACTTGGATGAGGGGTGGGCAGGAACCAGGCCCAAGTCTGCCCGAATGCAAAGCTCATGTTCTTGTGCGTAGATGTAACATTACCTGATGGTAGAGATTGTAGAGTGGGGAGACCCAGCCACGCAGGACAGCAGTTAAGAGCAGGTACATGGAGCCAGAAAGACCTGCTTCTCCCCTCAGGAGCTCACTGGACTTGTACATGTTTCTAGATCTCTCAGAGTCATTTTCATCTGTGAGCCGGGGCTAAGATTAGCACCCATTTCATAGAATTGAGTATGGGATGCTCTAATATGTATACAGTGCCTGGCACTGTGCCTGCCATGTAGGACCAGTTGATAAATGGTCACATTTCTTTTGTCATAGGAGATGGCTGTGAACTTGACCTTAAGCACCCTCAGCTAGCTGTCTAGAGGGGATGGGTGGAAAAACAAACCCTCCTTCCTCCTTGCCCTGTTGTGTTAACAGCATGTGGACTAGATTCTTTTCCTTGTCTGTTCTCTTTGCTCAAGTCGTTCCCAAGGCTGCCTCCTAAGATGCTCCAGGCATCACCATGCCGACCAGAAGGTGGGCAGGATCCCAAGAGAGGGAGAGGGAGAGGGAGAACGGGGCTATTAAAGCTGGCATCCCCAACTTCCCGGGCTTTTGTTGGATTGAGTGTTTGGAGTGGCCACTCAGTTTGGGATTCAAGTGTTCCCTCTAATGCAGTGGCTGTTAGAGAGCACTCTCCACCCTGGATCAGAAATGGCCTTAGTGAAGAGAAGTTGCCCTGAGGAATGGCATGTGCTGTCACCAGTGACTGGGACAAAAGAAGCAGCATCTGTGGTTGCCGAGAGCGCTTCCTGGAAAGCACTTCCTGGGTGTGGTGAGGGATTACTGGTCCCTGTGGAGCTCCCACTGCAGCCTGAAAGATGGAACTGCCCCTTGCGTGGGTGAAAACTGTAGCTCAGTGGCAGGAGATACAGGCTTTGGAATCAGGACAGACAGGGGTCAAATCCCCACCCCACCCCACCACCTGTTACCTGTGCTCCCTGGCAAGCGACTGCACGTCTTTGAGTCTCAGGTCGCTCACCTGTCACTGGGATGGGAGGAGAGTCTATCACAAGAAGGGGAAATGGGAGGGAGGAGTGTAGCAGAGCCCCGACACGGTGCTTGAGGCGTAGCGAGGAGGAAAGACCTGAACCAGGCTTTCATCTGCCCTCGGCTGAGAAATTGCTGGTGTTTAATAATCTGCCATAAACAGTCTGCTCAAATTCCACAAGGTCCACAAAAAGAAAAAGGCATTGGAATCCAAAAACACATCCTTCTGTGTGGTCTGGATCCTAAGCACCTAGGTCAGGCTGTCTCCATGGGAACCTGGACGCTCCTGACGCTGAGGCACTGACCGTGGTTCTGCAGCCACCTTCATCCCTTGGGCAGTCAGCTTATAGGACAAAAGCACATTCATGGCTCACTAGCTTTTCTTTCGCTTTAGCTGGGGTAAACGCTGTAGATACCAGATACCAGATGCTCCTTAAACCTCTTCAGCCCGTGGGGCTCTTTCTTGAACCTGCAAACAGTCGATCTTGCAGCTTACTGTCCAGAGGGGAGGTGTGCTATAAACAGCAAACATGGCTGTTGGAAAATGTGAATTGACACCATTGAAAGCCCGTGTCCACCGAGACAGGCAGTCAGAGCAGAGCACACCATGACACTGGTGAAAAAGACAGGAGTGGCTGTGTCTGAGTTTTCCCACTATCTCGTGTTTATTGCATTTTCATCCCTTCCCTCCTTAGCATACACAGGGTGGTGGTAACAGGTACCAGCTGTGTAAGAAAATTCCAGATGGGGAGGGGGGAAAATACTAAAAATTAAGTAAGTTTAATCCATTCAACTGAATATTTTCGCAGGTGAATTGCTAGCATTGTAATTAAGCCAGAACATCTTGGGCCAACTCATGGTGAACACTAGTGTTCTCTGGGAACCTAGTTTGAGAACCACTGAAATACTATACCTGCCACCCCTAAAAGACTTGCTGGAATAAAGTCAAGACTTTCGAGTCTGTTTCTTTACATGTTTCTTCCAGGCGCCAAGCACAGGGATCCCCCTTTACAGGGGAAGAAACTGTCTCACTGAGAAGTGACTCGTCCAAGGTCCCCGTAATTTACAAGTGGTGAAACAGGGACTTGGAACTCAGTTCTCCCTGCCCCAGAGCCATAGTTTCCCCCTTCCTGCCTTTAAGAGTCTTCTAATCTGTTTAATTTAAAAAAAAAAAAAGTGACAGCTGCATTCTCCCTGAGAGGCTGAAAGCAGTTTGAAACTGTGTGGACCTTTGAGAGACAAATGTTCCATTTTATTAATTTTTTTTTTTTTGCTTTGTTTTCCTCCTGCTCCCTCTGTTCATCCTTTAGAACACAAACTTGACGACCCAGGAGCATGAAAACATCATTGTGGTAAGTGCCCGCAGTCCCTCTCGCTCTGCCCGCATCCCCTGGCCACGCCCTCCCGGGTTTGAGTGAGTCCCTGGAGGGCCAGCATGATTCACCAGCACAGCGACCTTGCTCAGTTTTGTCTTTCCTATGAAGCCAGACATGTCTCCCTCCTGCCTTTGCACATCTCAGATCCCCAACTGACAGCGGGGAGGGGGTGTAATTATCAGTCTTTGAGGTTTGTAGCAAATGTGTCTTAATCGCCTCCTCCTTCCCGGGTCTGCTGCAGGGAGTTGAAGGCAGGAGATGGCAAAGACCACATAATTTATTCACAGGCATAACCCTATTAGCTGAAAGGTAAACTTTCTCTTTCTTGCCCCAGGAAATGTCTCCTAATTAATCCACAAATAGAACCTGGATTTAATTTCCTCTGATGTGCAAAGTGAGATGGTATTTTCTGGGACTTGACTATAATGTAAGCATTTTAGGGGGTAGAATACCTTCCTGGGTGATTTTAAGCCAAGAAACATGACTCACAGAGAGAAGAAAGAAATGAAGTTGCACCTCCAGGGTGCCAGGCACTGAGCTGTGTATCTGAAGCCACAGATAACTAAGACAGCTTCTGCTCCTGAGGAGTTCATCATCTATTAAATGAGATCACTGCAAACATAGAGGCATGTAGTGTAGAGTGGAGTGATAAACTCACCTGAGAAAGAAGCCAGAGAGCTTCCCAGAGGCAGTGATGTCTGAGCTGGGTTTTGAAGGATCACTAGGAGTTTGCCAGATGGCATAACAGGGGGAAGGCATTCCAGAGAGGGAAAGCAAAACATGCTTAGAGTTTTAAGGCAACATGGAACATTCTGAAACTTCAGAATTGCTGGAGCTTAAGCATAAGGAATTAGGAAGCAGGAGGGCAGAATTTGAAGTGGAAGTGAGAGGCTGAGCTTTGTGTGCCCAGGGAAGGACCTGTCACCTGCCCGAGAGGTCCTGTGGCTGCAGCCTCCAACACAACGGCAACATCCCAGACACCCTGGTCCTCTGAGCTGCATTAGGGCTTCAGGAGCCCACCCACTTGGCCCTGGTGAGCCCAGCCTGAAGATCACCTCCTTGCCCCATCTGGGTCCTGTGGGCACCAAAGGAGGTGAGCCTTGGGCCTTTTTCTGTGGAGAATAAAGGCAGCAGTTTCTGTGGAGCCCCAGCCACAGTGTCTGGCGCATAGCAGGTGCTCAGTGGGTGTTTGCTAAAAATACAGATTTTTTTCCCGTGCTCTGCCCTGACCACTCATTGCCTTCTCTTGCTAGAACAGGGAAAGCATCAGCCTGGGTCTCCCCAGTCACCCACCACCACCTTTCTCAAATATATTATGAATTAATAAATTCATTTAACAAACATTTGTTGACATGTGAATCCAAGCCTGTGCCAGATACTGATCTCAGTTCCACAGACTGAATTGCCACTGAGGGATATTCTGTGTGCTGGGAGAACCTGGCAGATAATTAAGAAATTGCATGATCAGGGATTGAGATTTGTTCAGGGTGTTAGCAGAGCACAGAGGGCAGGCACCTGATCTCCTCTCTCAGGGAGGGTCCTGGGAGGAAGATGACAAAGGAGGTGAGAGAGCTGAGTCTTAAAGGTTGGATAGGATGCTCCAGGGAAAGGCAGTCCAGGAAGGGAGCCCGGCACGTGCAAAGGCAGAGAGACTCTCGCTGGTGGAGAAGCAGGCAGGGACATGGGTGCCAGGAAGGAGCTGGCATCTTCCTCTCCCTGCTGGCAACAGCTGTGGGTCCACCTTTGCACCTTGGCCCTGGAAGGAGGGTGAGGGCTCTGGACCAGGGAGGAGCCTGAGAAAGGAATTTTGATCTGAGAAATCCAAGCTTGCATTTATCCAGCTAATTGGGCCAGGCTGACCCCTTAATTGGTCTGGGCTGAGCTTCCCTGCTCAGCGGGGATGCCTGAGAACAGGGAAGAATGTGATCTGAGGGTCTGACCCTCAGCCCTGGGTTTTACAGCCCTGCTTTCAGCATTCTTTACGACCGATGCTGTTACCATTACCACGAAGCCTCCTGCAGCCTACTTTCATGCCAACAATTACATTCTGTGATTTGACCTGTTGGCAATTAGTCTTCTCCCAATGGGGCTTGGTATTTTTTTTTATGTACTTATTTTTCCTAAGTACTTTCATGAGTAACTTGAGTAGGTTTTATTCAACCCATCAGTCAGGCATCAATGCAATAGGTAATTGTTGGCTGGCAGGTCACTGGACAAGCGTGGACCTGGAGTCCAGACCCCGGCAGTGTCCCCAGGTGCTCTGAAGAACGTGGGCTTAACGCTGAGTGTTTCAAGCTCAGAGCCAAATGCAGACCCTGGGCCCACCTTATATCATCTGTGACCTTGGACGAGTAATGGAAGAACTTTTAATCTTGTTTAAAATATCTTTAAAATATTCTTTAAAGTGCTTTTGCAGTGAGTATATTTTAATTGTTTTTTAAAAAAAAAAAAAGATTTCAACCCATCCCAGCGCCCCCTTCAGAGACAGCCCTGGATGGAGGTTTTCAGAGGGTAACAAACCCACACAGACAGATACAGTTGTGTTTTTATTTTTTGTTTTTAACATTAATGATGTGATGCAGGATGTGTTTTGTTCTGTTTGTTTTTTCACTTAACAATATGTCTCAGAGATTACTTAAGTCTACTCCAGGGTTTCTCACTCTAGACACTAGTGACATTTGGGGACGGATGATTCTTTGTGGTGGGGGCTGTCCTGAGCATTGTAGGATGTCCAGCATCCCTGGCCTCCATCCACTAGATGCCATACATTCCCCTGTTGTGACAATCAAAGTGTCTCCAGACATGCCAATATTCCCTGGTAGGGGACAAAGCCAACCCCAGTTGAGGACCACTGGTCTATGCCATTCTTTCTACTGGCTCTAGAATCAAACTAGATGGCCATTCAGATCATTTCCAGCTAACTTGACCCTCTAAGCATGAGATTCCTCATTCTATGAAATGGGCGTGATGACAGTGCCTTTCTTTTGGGGCTGCTGGGATGGTTAAATGGGCGAATGCACCTAACATGCTTAGCAGAGGACTCGGCTCATAGCAATATTCCACAAAAATATACATGCTTTTTATTAATAATACGGTTTAAAACAGTCATTATCCTGTGCCTGGGGCAAGACTTGTAACAACCTCCCTGATCCTCTGTCTCTTCATCGTACAAATGGGAATGACTACTGCTTGACCCCACAGAGTTGACATGTGGATCTCTCCTTGATCCATTCCCACAGCAAGGCCTTTGGGTATGGGTGGGGACCCCTCTGTGGGGCCTTCCGCCTGTTTCGGGACCGCTAGGGAAAGGAAAGCACAGCGGGTACCAGGAGGCAATGATGGCTAGCTGGCCAGTTACATGAGTGCCCCACCGTGGAAAATGAAGTCATCACATGTGAGGCTTTGCTTCCCGGCACCAATGGTCAGGCTGACCAGCAGGTGGAGGGAGGCCCAGGATCTTGCTTGCCCAGGGCTGCACTGTCCAGTATGGCAGCTACTGGCCACACATGGCTCCACATTTTAACTGACATGAAAGAAACAATTTTAAAAGAAATAAAATTAAGAGTGTGGTTCCTCAATCACACTAACCACATTTCAAATCTCAGCAGTCACAGGAAGCTAGTGGCCACTGTCCTGGATCATGCAGCCCGGTAGTCCTGGTGCTGGCTCCTGGGTGTCCTGGTTCCTACAATTGTGCCCAGTGTGGCAAACGGGAAAATGAGAGGACTTCACTTGGGCTTTAACCAGCCTGTAGCAAATGTTTATTGAGAGCTGGCCTTATTTCAGACTCTGTGAGGCACTTTACACCAAGGGCGCTCCACTGGGGCTGATTTTTGACAATGTCTGGACACACTTCTTCCCAGTTGTTCAAATTTTTATTTGAGTTTGAAATTTAGCAAGATGATTAAAACAGAAATTATGAAAGGGGCAAAAAACCAAGAATCAAATACCATTGGGGCCACGGGGACCTTGCACAGGAATGGGGGGGAAGCAGTCACATGGTAGAGCTCGCCTAAGAAGGCTTGGCGAGAAATGAATTCAAGGGACGTTAGACAGTCTAAGCTTCCTTCATACAAAATGAAGTGTGTCTGGAGACATTTTTGATTGTCATCGCAGGTTGGGGGGTTGAGACAAGGACAGCTGCACCACCAGCAACGCCCGCCCCAGGTGCTGACAGGGCGAGACTGAGAAGCCCTCTCTGCTCCACTTCCAGGTGGGGCCCCAGGGTTAAGAGAGACGAAACAGCTTGCTCTAATGGACACACTGTAGGAAGTGGCAGAACCAGGACTGGCACCCAGGGCTCCGCCCCCAAAGCCTGGGCTTACAGACACTGCGCATCTTGCTTCATAGTCAGGGGGCCGTGGATACCAGCAGGTCTTGAAACCCCTAAAGTGATAGGCATCATTGGAGGTATATATTTGGGGGAGGCCAGCCCAGAGCTTTTAGCATCTTCTCATGCATCCCCCAGTTTGAGAATGGGCTGTTTTCGCCCAGAGGATGACAGGGAGGTTGTGGTTTTCCCACCTCTTATGTAGATACACCCGCGTACGATTCCTTCCAAGAGATTCCGACTGACGATTGTTCATTGTCTTTCAGGCAATCGCTCCTTTGCTGGAAAACAACCATCCACCACCAGATCTCTGTGAATTCTTTTGCAAGGTATGGCAGGAAGCAGCCTGCCTTCCATCTGGGCCTGGTGGGGGTTGGTTTTGCAAAATTTACTGAAATCCCAAAATTAGACGCCCCCCACCCCCGACCCCTGGACCCAGGTCCGGGCCCAGACACAGCTAAATACACCCCGTTCTTAGGGTCACAGCCTCTCTGCCAGACAAGCAGTAACGAGGCCCAGGGCCCAGACTGGTGGGTCAGGGAGAGGCATCTGGGTTTCCCTTGGAATATCTTCGTGGCTGTCTTGGGAGACGTTTGCAGCAGATTTTCTGGGCTCCTGACGTCAGAGCTCGGCTATTATTAGCCAGGGCGCCTCAGAGCACCGGCTGGCCCACAGTGGGGACATGGCTGCAGGGCTTTCCCTGAGCACAGAAGTCTGGCCAGGGATGCCAGGTTAGCTTGGAGGGGCCCAGAAGCAGGACATTCGGTCCCAGGGACCCAGCGCCAGCCTCACAGTGGGATCTGCATGGAACATGCCCAGGGCACGTCGGGGACCAGGCATCCCTCGCTCTGAGAGCACACTCAGCAGCCCAGGGGCTGAGCAATTCTTTGCTGGGTGACTTTCTAAATGCAATGATTTGATGTCCTGGGAAGTCACAGGGCCCAGTTTGCTGCTTTCCCAGCGCTCCCCTGGGCTCACTCCCACCGACCCACTTCACCGAGCTGGTTCCTTCCACAGCCATGTGCTGACCTTTAGGGTGGAGGGTGCTGTGTCCACCAGTGAGACAGGCACGTGATGGGGCAGAGCGGGCACCTGGGGCTGCTGGTTCTGGAGGAAGGGAGACTGTGGTGCACTTATTGCCCTCCTGTCCTCTCCCTGTCCCCTGTCCCCTGCCCCCTACTCAGGGAGTGTGCTGTGTGTGTGTGTGTATCAGGGGACATAAGGTTTAGGGGGACAGGATCGCACTGTCCTCTTTGCCCCATCTCTCCATCAGGAGACCTTTTCAAGCGACCCACAGAGCAGAAGGTGGGCCCAGCGGGCTGCCTGAAGTGCCCAGTGCATTTCTTTATTATTTTTTTAGTTGAAGTATGGTCGGTTTACAATGTTGTGTTACCCAGTGGGCGTGTGGACACGTGCCAGTGAGTGCCCTCTGGTCCGAGTGGTGAGCCCCGAGTGTGCGGCTAAGTGTGTGTGTGTGTGAGAGCAGGCCTCCCCCTGGGCGTTGGGTCCCGTGCTGTGCCAAGGCCCCTCCCCCGGGGAACACGAAGGAAAGAAGCAGCTTGGTGAGACTGAAGACAAGTGAGACAGGCTTTCTAGGCCCCCAAGCCGGGGGGGCTCAGATCCAGAGCTTGGACTCCTTAGAGGATGGCCAGCTGCCCCTTTCCTGTGCTGGCGGGTCATCTCCTTTCTGCTGTTTTGTCCAGGTTAATCCAGACCTGCTTCTTGGTTTTCCCAAGCTGTGCGGTTTCTGCCAAATCTCATGGTTTTCCAGCATCTGTTCTAGAAAGTGGACCTTATTCCAAGTAAACCATACCTGAGGGCTCCTGGTGGCACAGTTTGAAAAGCAGTGATGTGGAGGAAGCCATCCTTTCTGGCATTTCCCTGTAGAACACCCCATAGAGCTGCCCTGCCATTTGGAGAGGGGGAAGCCTAGCCACACGAGCCTGGAGATTTGGGCCTGTTTTCCCTCTGGGGATGGGAGTTGCAGCCTCAGCACCTCACCCACCATACAGCTCAACTAGAGAGAGGCTGAGAGAAGAAAGCCTCCTCCACCAGGTCCGCTTGGCCAGCTCCCTGGACACACCCAGCAGCCTCTCCTGCCAGACTTGCAAGCCCAAACCCTGAGGTCTGGGGACAGTTTATTCTTCTAGGGTTATCTAGGGAAGCCCGATTTCTAATATCCGAAGTCCAGTGTCCTCTCCTAGGGTTGGAAAGGCAGCATCTTCAGGCCCAGACAGGGACTTCACCTGCTCCACCCGAAGGCCTTCGATTTCATTTTGAGAAACAACCCCCATGCTGGTGAGATTAAGTACATCCAAGGGCCATGTGCGGCCTGCAGACTGCAGCCAGCTTGTCAAAGCCCTCAACTGAGAGGCCACAGAATTTTTGAGATTCTAACATCAGAAAACTAACCCCTGGTATTCTCGCACCCGATTTCAGGAGGCTCCACTGCTAGACCACGCCCTCCGAACCTTAGTGCTGCAGAAGTCTCGGCCTGTTAAATAGGGGGCCTGGTGGGACGGACTCCTGTCTGTACCATCTGAAACAATCTCAGACTTTAAGATCAAAACAGAAAGCAAACAGAAGATCCCATCCCCATGCACTTCAGTTACTCCCCCAAAATGAACAAAAAGCTGTGCAGCAATACTCTGCAGGCACCAGGGCTGGGTCCATTGCCCTGAGCGCTATGAGGAGCCCCAGACCGCAGCCAGGGCTTCCACAGGGCCGGGCGGCCCCAGCTGGACCCCACCAGGCTCGGCGCTGACCATGTCCTCCTGTCTCCCCAGCACTGCAGAGAGCGGCCCCGGTCCATGGTGGTCATCGAAGTGTTCACGCCCGTGGTCCAGAGAATCCTCAAGCATAACATGGTGAGTTCTCCCGACACCCAGCGCCCGCGCCGCAGAGGCTTTCACTTTTCCAGAGAGTCAGGGAGTGGGGCTGGCCGGCTGCTGGCCAGGGACTGGGTTTGGGATTCGGTAAGTTGGAAGTTTTCATGCAGCCTGTCCCAGTTGGCTAAATATTTTGCTATTAATTCAACAGGAAGAATCTTTTCACAGTAAGAATGTGGCTGAGAAGAGATAAGTCTCCCGTGTGTGCGTAGTCACAAATGATGTCTGTAGAAACTCTGCCCTCGAGGAGGGAGAGTGAACTCCTCGCTCCTTACGTGGGGGCTGCCCATAGTAATGAACAGGGGGAGACGGGAAAGAGTGGCCATAGGATGCAGAAACCTAACAGTCGTGGCCTTGCCCAGGTGGTGAAGGTCAGCATCAACAGTGGTCAGTCACGGCATGGCGCATATCCTTGATGTGATGTGAGGAGGCGGGCCTGGACCTCCGAGGTCTTCTCTTTCAAACCCACAGCCCCAGTGTGATCGTGAGAAAAACTTCAGACCATTCCCAGCTGAGGGACATTCTGCAGAACACCTGATGGTCCTCAGAACCGCCGGGTCGTCACAACAAGGAGAGTCTGAGAAGCAGCCACAGTCTAGGGGCCCCAGGAGACACAACAACTGAGTGTAGTGGGGTGTTCTGGATGGGATCTGGGACAGCAACAGGAAATTAGGGGAAAACTGAGGAATCTGCATAAAATATGGACTTCAGTTAATTTGTTTTCAAATGGCAGAATTTCATTGCACTCTCACAGTGGGCTGGGCACTTGCACACTCAGTGAACTGGGCTCTCATGACCGCTGGCCCTTTTGCATTCTCTCATCAGTCCAGTGAGAGCAGCAGATGTCACTGTTTTCTCCATATGACACGTGAGGAAACAGGCTTAGCAAAGTCCGTTAACCGGCCCCAGGGCCACAGCTGCAAATAAGAACAACCAGGTATTTGTGGTGCACCTTTTAGAGCCGGACTCAGTGTGATGCCCCACTGTATTGTGTCTTGTAACCCTCATGACAGCCCAGGACCTCCTTCTACAGATGAGAAGGCCAAGACCCAGAAAGTTCGAAAGGTTGCTCCAGGAACCTGTGGGCGGCTGTGGTTTCTCATGTATCGTACCAGGCAGCAGACAGTCTGAAGCGAGGGCTGGTGTCCCAGCCTGCTCTGATGAGCCGGCCACCAGCCTGGATTGAAGTCACCTGGGTGGCAGGAGACATCTGTGTCATTGCTGCACAGGTTGGGCCACTGAGTCAGTTGTGGGGTGACCGTGACTAGTGCCCCCGGCCCCATCAAGAGGCAGCATATGAAAATAGCTCTGAGAAAGGGTGACCTGCTCACAGCTTTCCTGCCTCCACACCATGCCCCCAAAGACTAGAATATAGGTTTACCCCGCTCCCCAATCAGGAATGGAAATGTAGGGTACATGTGCCACAAGGCCCTAGCCCACACTCATGGCAGACATCATTACAGCACTCTTCCTGCAGAGTCCAGAGGTCACTTCAGAATTTCTCAACACAGCACTCCAGGCAGCCGCTACCAGCTGAACTTTGTTGGTACCAGAGGACTCTCTTGACCGTCCTCTTTGAGTGATCACACCCCATAATTGAATTGTTGCTTATTTCTGAAACCTCCTTAATTTGAGATAAATGCATTTCTTGTTTTCTGAATGCAGGGGAAAGGGATACTCCATCTGATTCTTTCTCCAGGAATAACAAAGAAACTCTCCTTGGGGGGCGGGGGGGTGGATTCTGCCTTAATTTGGGTTTAGTAGTTTCAAGGACGCTGTCTGGCTTGAGCCAGCTGGGAGGAAAGGGTCCCTGATTGTTAACTTTAAAGTCACCGTGGGTGTGGTGTGAGGTGAGGGCCATGCCCTTTCAGAGTCCAGAGCAAAAGTTCTGGAGTTTCTTTCGCCAAGGACCTCCTCTCATCACAACCGGTTAGTGGCAGAGCCACACCTCCAGGGTGACTGGCCGGGGCTTGTGCCTCCTCAGGCATGTAAACATTTTTCCACGCTCCGTGGCAGTCAACAGACTGTTTAATAAGGATCTTTTAGGACATCTGATTTCAAAGGGAAAAAGTCAAAATTCAGGCAACCTCCTAAGGCTTAACCATATAACATCTCTCTTATATCTGATTAGTTTAATGGGCCTGGAGTGTTGACCATGTAGTAATTTTCTGGATAAAAATCAGAACAGCTACAGGGTAAATCCAGAATTTATAGCATCTGTTGTGGTCTGGCAGAGATCAGGGACCCTTAGGCATGCGTCCTCACTTCACTTTTAAAGAACTCTCTCTATGTGACCCCGGTGTCTGGGGATGCTATAAAGTCCCAACCCCACTTGCTCTTGACACCCACTAATTACACGTCGTGAACGGTGTCAGAAGAGAATTGTAGACAGGACCCGGGGGATTAGGCCCTCCTACAGAAGAAGAGATGAGTGTTCAGCAGTGATTGTGGCTCACAGCAGGCTGTGGTGTCACTCATTTAATGCTCCCTAAAGCTTAGTCATTGGCCAGAGCACGTTTTGGAGCGGGGCTCTCTGCTGGCGTGGGGTATCTGGTCACTGCTTAGTGAATGTGCCTGGCCTGCCACCAGCCACATGCCTGTCAGCAGAGTGGGACTTCCCTTCTCCCCACGTGCAGTGTTTCTCATTAAGGAAGCACTTGAACGTTTGGGAAATAGGGGAGATCACACTCCACCGTGGTGTGCTGGGGTTTCCAAGGTCCCTCATTCTCAGAATGCATCTTTTGTAAGTATATCATGTGCCCCATTTCATGGATGAGCAACTGAATCTAGATTGAGTGTCTCAAAGAGTGTTACTCAGTGGGCCAAAATAAAAATTAGATACAGGGGAACAGGAGGTATAGCTCAGTGGTAGAGTGTTTGCTTAGCATACATGAGGTCCTGGATTCAATCCACAGTACCTCTGTTAAAATTTTTTAAAAAATTAGATGCAAATGGAAGCAGCCCTTAAGTATGTTCCTCTAGAGATTCTAAACAGTTAGCTCAACTGCATCCCCAAGAATGATTATGGTCCCTATGCCCACGTGCCACTCATTGGCGTGTTCTCGTGGCCAAGTAGCAAATGAGACTATAGTCCCTAGTGGACCACTGGGTGATGTGACCTCCTGCTTTCCAAGGGGAACATATTTGATGTCGCTGAAGAGGCAAAATGTCCCTCACTCACATATCAAAAGGCCACTAGACTGATCTATAATGTTAGTTTCCAAGAAAATGACCTTCACTATCCAGAAATCTAATAGCAAAGGTAACAGCAGTTATCAGGGTTTAGTTGACGCAGTTTTTATAGAATCATAACACCTCAGAGGTAGAAGGGGCTTAGAAATCCATTCTTGCAGCCCTTGTTCCACAGTGGAGACAGTAAGGCCCACAGTGGGACATGGCTGCCCAAGGCCACACAGGTTTCCTGTTACCCTCTTGCCGGGGACTTGGGGCCTCTGGGCATCTTCCTCAGTTTGAAAGCACAGTCAAGCTTCAGTCTTCTCTTCATGCAGGGGCCTCAGCTTCTAGCTTAGCTGAGCTCTGTTGCCGACCCACTAACATGCAGCATCAGGGAGGCTGAAAACATCCTTCTCCAAGGATGTCACTCATTGGAGCAGCGGGTCCCCTCTGTCAGGGTGTGATCTGGAGTGTGGCGGGGCCAGGTCTTCGTGTGTGCTTTCTAGAAAGAAGAGCTGGCTGGTGTCTCCCTGCTGCCCCCAACACCATCGTCTCCAGGCAGAGTGGATCCCCCACCCCTTCTGGTGTCTCAGCCTCCTTGGCAACGTCTCCCAACTCCTGCCCTCTGCTCTTTCTGCAGGACTTTGGGAAGTGCCCACGACTGAGGCTGTTTACTCAGGAGTACATCCTTGCCTTGAACGAGCTCAACGCGGGGATGGAGGTGGTAAAGAAGTTCATTCAGAGGTGGGTCTTCCAGCCAGACCCCCCTCCCCATCCCAGCCTGTGAGCCAGCTTTCCTCTGCACCAGACCCACTCACTCCATCAATGCCCAGAAAAGAGCACTGGCGACCCGAGGCCTCTTCTGCGAGGGGTCTCCTGGGTCCTCCTGAGCACGTGTGGTCTGAGGCACTTCCTTGCTGTGTGACACTGAGCCACTCACTGTACCTCTCTAATCTGGTTTCCTCTGCTGTCCCCAGGGGTGCTTGTGCAGTTAAATAAACTAATATATAAGGAGGCCCCTAGCACAGTGCCTGATGCTCAGTAGGAACTCAGGAAATGGTAACAGTTCTGATAATAAGAGTATTTCCATGAGTCCTCCCATGGGTGCTGGGTGTGTGGGGAATGATCTCCTGGTGGCCCTGGAGAGCCACCACTGGAGACTTGAAAGCTGCCTCCCAGACTTGGCCCAGAGGAAGCCAGATATTCTGATTCTTACTCCCTTCTGTTGGTTGGGCAGTAGGGTGGGGGTGCTTTTGCTTTGATTTTTACGTTTTTTTCTCCACGCCTCAGTTTCCTCATCTGTCAGGTGAGAACCGTAGTTCCCACTTTATCCAGTTAACGCAAGGCTTCAGCGAGCTCATACACGGAACACCAAGAATAACGTGGAAGTGTGACAAGAACGTTAGCGTCATCGTCATGACTCTTCATTTTTTTAAAGAATATCAAAATAGGCTGTTTAAGCCAGTTCCAAAGCTGCATATTTCCTAAATATACTCACCCCGACAAAGGGATCGGAGCACCCCACCCCCAACCTCTTCCTGAATGGCACCCGGGCCTCCCCTGGCCTCTCTGCCACCTTCTCACCCCGCCCTCTGCTCTTTTCCAGCATGCACGGCCCCACCGGGCACTGCCCCCACCCCCGGGTCCTGCCCAACCTGGTGGCTGTGTGCCTGGCCGCCATCTACTCCTGCTATGAAGAGTTCATCAACAGGTCAGTCACCACCACCGCTGGGAGGGCCTGGGTGGGCCACAGGACACTACACACCCAACCAGGCAGGGAGGTAGAATGGTTTTTGCTGAGTCTGTCTGCAGAGTGTTTGCCAAATCCCCGGTGCTCACTGATGCCAGGGCCTAGAACCCAGGAATGTGACTGGAAAAGCAAACACTGTGAATCAATGCTGGTACTGCAAGACCATTGTGTTGACTTGGCTTTAGGAACAAGAGTTTTATTCTGAAGATTTCTCACCACCTGGCATGTGTGACTGGAAGAAGGCATGACAGAGCCACTGTCTCGGGTCCCCCAGGGTTTGGTTGCAAGCAGCTTATTAGGGAAGTAGCCCCAGGAAGCAGCAGGAGGGGGTCTAGGAGGAGGACAGCCAGTAGGGTCTGTGTTCATAAGCCAGTGACCCCTGTGGGCACCGATGCCTTCCCTACTGGGACCTCCTGGGAGACCATGTGGAATGCTCTCTGAGTCCTTCCCCTTAGGGATGGTGATGCTGGAGTAGTTACTTACCAACTCCCATTCTTCCCAGACTGATGATGGCTCCTGGGATGAAGAGTGACGCAAATGCCACTAGTTGTACAGAACTTTCTACGTTGATCCCTGGGGTCATTAGAGAGGATATGATACGCAGGGCACAGGTGGCATCTGTGGCAGCTGCCCTGTCTAGTTGTTGGAGAGGTACACTGCACAACTCCATGAGGACCAAAATGTGTCCAGGCACCACTCGAGCTGGAGGCACAGCAGGAGTATGTATCCATCCCTAAAAGGCAGTGGAACATCACTAAAAACCTGTGCAGTTGGGGCAACCTGGAGGTGTCACACTGGTCATTCCCAAGTGCCTGTTCTCTGCCCTGAAACATGTTATATTAAAAGAAAGAAAAAGAAGAAGGAAGTCAGAGGGGCCCTAGAGCAGAGTTTCCCTGAATAGGAACAGAAAGCAGAAAGAAGTCTCTCTCAGCTCCCACTGAGGAGAAGGGCAGAGGTGGAAAGAGCCAGAATCAGGAGCCGTGCGTGCTGTTGCACAGATAGGGGACTAGGGACAGCAGCAGCCAGCCTTGTCCTTCCCCTGTCCTCTCAACACTTGTATCGTGAGAGCCCGTTATGTGCCAGGTGCTGACGGTACAAAGTGAACCAGCCAGTGGGGCCCCTGCCCTCGCGGAATGGATGGTGGAGCAGTGCTGAGCTGCTCCTGGGGGTCGTGTTAAAATGCAGACTCAGGCTCAGCGGGTCTGGGGCAGCACCTGAGACTGTCTAACAGACTCCCAGTAATGCTGATGCCTCTGGTTGGGGACCACACTTTGAGCAGCAGAGCTGTATGTCAGTTTCAGTTTTTATTCTGAGAGCGTGGGAGTCGCCAATAGATTTTAAGCAGAGAAGGGACTTGATGTCAGTTTCCAGACCCTCCTCGGGCTGCTGCTGCAGGGAGGGTGGACTGCTGGGGCCCAGTGTGACCTTCGGACACCATTTGGCGGTGGCTGCAACTAGATGCCCAGGGTGAAAGCCTGGGGAGGGCCAGGTGGGTCCTGCCGCCTGCCACAGGCCTCCTCCAACGCCTGGCTCAAAACAGCCCAGCCCCCTTGGAGCCCTCAGCGGTTTAGAAATCATGCCGAGGGCTGCAAGACCTTTCCTGGGCTCAGGCCCATCCCACCCTGTTGGTCAGTCCCTGGAAGATAAAGCCCCATGATGTCCTCTGGGCCCGTCCATGGTGCTCTCAGTGGGTACGTGATGTACTCACACACAAAAGAACAGACAGCTTGACCCAGGTTAGCGTAGCTTGCTGGAAAATCACCCAGTCTGAGCCAAACAGCCTTGAAAAATCCACTCCTAAATCCCAGCAAAGGCAAAGAGGATGGAGCTGAGCATTTGGGTAGCAAATTAGCTCTGAGCGCATGAAGATAGCTCCACCGCTTCCCCCACCAGACCACACACAATTTTCCATCAGCCACTGAATCCTTGGACTTTAGCTAATGGGTTTTGTTTTTCCCCAGCAAGGTTTAAAGTATGTTTATCAGACATCCTTGGTGGGCTCAGCTCAGGCCTGGCTCATGACACATGGGTGAATTCAGGCCCTCCGAGTGCATCAGGCATGAGTTCTGTGCTCGACGCAGTCCTTGTGCATAAGGAGCATGCACGTCTCTTTGGAAGGACAGGCACGTGCATCTGGCACATTTAGAGAGGGACTGATGAGCAGCTGTTCGTGATCATATCATCAAGTTCTTAGTCTGTTGGAGCAGTGGGCTCAACGTTGGCTGCACACACGGGAATCCCTTAAAGTTACTGGTGTCTGGACCCCCACCCCAGAGATTCCAACCTAATTGGACCTCAGGATGTTTAGAAGTGCCCCAAGAGATACTAGTGCCCAGCCAGGAGTGGAAAGCTCTGAGCCAGGAAGGGTGAGGGTGGCTGGTGGAAGAAATCCTGGAAGACTTCTTGGAGGAGGAGGACCTGCCTGGGCCCATACAGGATTTTGAAAGTGCAGAGACCTGGCTTCAAATCCCAGCCCTCTCTACTTACAAGCTATGTGATCCAGGGTAGTCATTTGACCTCTGATAGCGTCTTTACTCACCTGTACCAAGGAGGTGATAATACCTACCATTCAGAGATATCTGAGAATGTATGTGTGGTCTGTGTGATAGCACTTAGCCCTGTGCCAGCGACACCAACAAAGGAAACTCATTGGTGGAGTTCCCTTCCTTCTAATGTGCCTCCCTGTAATGTTTGGAAGCATCCAATGAGGAGGCATTTTATTCAGCCTCAAAGCTCTGACAAGTCCTGCCATAAAGAGATCTCATCTCATTGTGTTGGGCTCAGCATTTCCCCAAAACATGTGACCTCAAGGATGCCATAGTGCCCTTTTCTTAGCTCACATCCGTTAACAGCCTGCATGAGATTGTTCCTCCAGTCAGTGGAGACGCTGTCAGTATTGGGTTAGCCAAGGGTGGTGGGGGAGCTGAGGTCAGGAGGGACCTGTAGACTCCAGGGGGCGAGATCTGGGGTTTGGTGCCCCTTTGAAGTGGGTTCACAGGTGGAGAAGCAGATGCTGACTTTCTCACCTGGCAGAGGTGGGACATTATGGCATCAGGGGAGGGAGGCAGTTAGACTACAGGAAGTGACTAGAAGCATGGTCGCTTAGAAGGTCTCCTTGGTGTGTCAGGAAGGTGGCCAGGGAAGGCATCTTGATGGAGGTCAACACTGAGGCCCTTATGATTCTTGTGTAGAGGTTAACATTGACTTACTCATTCCACAAGTTTCTGCCAAATGCCTGCTGTGTGCTGGGACTACAGCGTGCGCCTTAGTGCCAGGCAGCCTGGATTTGGATACCATGTGCAACTCTCCCTGTCTGAGGCCTTGAGCAAGCTGCCTTCTCAGACTGAGCCTGTCTCCTCACTGGTGGGATGGGATCTGGTGGCACCAGCTCACAGCATGGCCGTGGGGCCCGGGGGCATTTAGCAGGGTGCAGCCTGGCACCTGGGAGCACCCACTAGAACGCAGCTCGCGGCTTCTGTGACTCCCCAGGGCCTGTCCTCACACCCCTCTCCACCTCTCCCCCAGCCGCGACAATTCCCCCAGCCTGAAGGAGATACGGAATGGCTGCCAGCAGCCCTGCGACCGGAAGCCCACCTTACCTCTGCGCCTTCTGCACCCCAGCCCGGACCTGGTGTCTCAGGAAGCCACGCTGTCCGAGGCACGGCTCAAATCGGTGGTCGTGGCCTCCAGCGAGATCCACGTGGAGGTGGAGCACGCCAGCACTGCCAAGCCAGCGCTGACGGCCAGCGCGGGCAACGACAGTGAGCCCAACCTCATTGACTGCCTCATGGTCAGCCCCGCCTGCAGCACCATGAGCATCGAGCTGGGCCCCCAGGCTGACCGCACGCTCGGCTGCTACGTGGAGATCCTCAAGCTGCTGTGAGTGTCTCCTCGGCCTGCCCGGCCCCTCGGGTAGGGGAGGGGCTGGGCTCTGCAGCTGCCCGGGAGCACACCAGCATGGGCCTGCCAAGTGTGCACACTTGAGTTGGGGTGCTCATGAGTGCTCATGAGTGTGGGTGCACAGGATGCAGATTTAGGGATGAGGGTATTCGTTTGGGGTACATGTGTATCCATGTAGGATGCATGCCGGGCTATGTGTACAGGTGGAGAATCTGGGCCCGCGTGTAGGGTATATGCATGGGCATAATGTATACATGTGTGCCCACGAGTTGAGAACTTGTGAGTATATACACCTGCCAGGATGTGCTTGGGCACACGGGTAGCCAAGTATGTCTGTGAGTGTGTGGACCTCTGCAGGGGTGTAGGGTGTGGGCTCATTCTGAGTTTGGAATTGTCCTTGTATGTGTGTAAGTGGCTTTGGGTGTATGAGGGCATGACAGTACATGGGTGGTTGCCCGAGAGTGTGTGTGTGTGTGTGTGTGTGTGTGTGTGTGTGTGTCTGCATATAGGCGTTGGATGTGGGATATATGTGGATTTCTCTGTAGGGGCCAAATGTGTGTTTTGAATGCCTGTGAGTGTAAGTGTACAAGCGTGGTTGTGTCTGGGTGCCTGTGCTGCTTCTGTGCATGAGTGGCTGTGAGTGCACACATGTGGGTGTGAACATTTGTGCACAGAGTTGGTGTGTGTGTTTCCCTGTGTGTGCAGATATGCCCATGAGCCCGCATATGAGTGTGTTTCTGTGCTACGTGATCTGTGCTTGCTTTGTGCTTGGTGTGTATTTGATGTCCCGTTCCAGCACCTCCCCCGCCCCCTACAGCCTCATCTGATGGGCAGGGTGGGAGTGTGGTGAGCAGATCAGGCTCCATGCAGCCTGGCTGGTGGGAGCCAGGAGACCCGGTCTGCCCTGGGTGGTGCCGCTTCTGAGCTGGGTGCCTCAGGCCTGTGCCTGCCCCTCCCTGAGCCTCGCTTGTGTGACTCTAGAATGAAGGGGTGAGGTCTTAGTCTTTGTCCCTTTGTCCGCAAGGGTCTTTCCAGTGCCACATTCACACTGTACCACCCAGATGCATCTCAAACTAGCACACCTGGTTCCTGGAGCCCCAGGTGGTTGTCCCTTCCCTTCCTTCCTGCACTGAGCTCTGGGGTTCAGTGGGGCAGCGTGGCCTGGAGAACCTAGCAGATGCCTCCCCCACTTGCTCCCACGAGAACAGGACTCTGCCTTGCTCTCAGGGATGCCTTTCCAGGTGCTGTTGGTGGTGGGAGATGGGCTTTTCCCAGGGATTGGGGCCTGACAGCATGGTCACATCTGACCGATGCACGGTGCTTAACTAGAGGTGGGGCACCAGGGCCCCTCGATCTTGGGGGCCTGGCTCCTGGGCTGGTCAGTGTCACCAGGGTTTCCCTGAGGCCCTGCATCGCCACTGAGCTCTGCAGCGTTTGTTCTGCTCTCTTGAGAGCCAAGTGCTGCCTGGAGCGCACTCATGGCCTGGAGGGTGGAGGCCACCTGCCGGCTGCCTGGTGAGCTGGTGAATGGGCAGTGCCTAGGGAGGCCCCATGCTCTAAAAGCAAGGCCTGTGGTCTCTGTGAAGGTGAGCAGGTGCATGCACACACACTCACACGTGTGCATACACAAATACCAATGCACCTTTGCACAGTGGCTTCTCCTGTTTGAAGGAGACTGTGGATACAGGCTCCCCAAACACTTCCTCTGCCCCTGCTTTGACCCGGGAGAGGAGACAGTGAGGCCTCCTGGGGTGTTGATTCCAGCCTGGCCCGTGGTTCCAGCAGCAGGGACCAGCTGAGGCACAGCTGCATTTAGCGACACCCCCACCCACACTAACCAGAGCACATTCCAGATTCTGCTCAGGGAGCATCTCCAACAACATGTCTCAAGTTTCTCCGAGGCTGGAGGAGTCCCCACTTTCTCCCAGGGATGTGGGCAGCCCTCCGAGGGACAGGCCAACCGTGGCCTGTGTCTCCTCCTCGCCCTGGCTAAGGCAGGCCCCGCCAGGCCAGAGACGGCCCTGCTCTCCCCCTCGGCCCCTGACTCCGGCTGTTTCCCACAAACACCTGAAGCTCCCAGGCCTTCCGCTGGCTCCTATTTCTCATTAAGCACTAAGGGTTTGAGCTTCATCATGCAGTTGATACACATTTTCCTTCTTCATAAACATGCTCATGAATGAGGATTCTGTTCTTGCTGATCTGCTTCCAGACCTCCTGCCTGCCCACATTGCCCAGCTGCCAGGTCATGGGTGGGGGTCAGGAGGCCGGGCAGGGGCAGCCTGCTGGGAGCCAGGAGGTGTTCCTCATCTCCACTTGGAGGAACACCTCCTATCCTGCCAGAAGGTCTCCACGAAGCAGGGTTCATACTTTTAGAAGCCTTTTTCACCTTGGGGGAACTCAAAACACGATTTAGGCCTGATAACTTCTGTTCCTAGCAACTTTCCTTCTCTGATTCTGTTGCCTGCTGGAGTCACTGGCCCACTGGAGGGCTGGAGACATGTCTGATCCACAAAACCCCAGCAGGTCCAAGTGCTCCAAAGTACGATAGTTTTCAGAGCCAGACTGTTGGGTTCAGGGGCCGTGGATGTCAATGTCAGCCCATGACCTTGGGCTGGTTACTCGCCCTCTCTGAGTCACAGCTGCCTCCAGGCATTAGAGTGAGACGGAGGCCTGGCTTCGGGCCCCAGCACAGAGCCGGCACCTTGCAGGCGTAGATACTGGGCAAGTGGGAGTTACTACATTTTCCCACTACAACTGTGTTTCCTCTATTTTAAGATACAGTTGGGAGTAAGATGTACCATTGATTTAATAACAGCACTTTGAGAGGGGAAAAAACCCAACGTGGCATTCAGAGCATACTTGGTTTGCAAGAAGTGTGCATCTGAGAATTGAGGAGATGTGGTCTTATGACTTAATCTGCTGTGGAACAGCAGGCAGCACTCTTGGCTTCTCTCGGTCTCAGTTTTCTTGTCTTTAAAATGGGTGTCTTCCTCAGAAGGGCTATTGTGAGAATTTAGTGACATTGGACTTGGTGAGAGTGATCTGCTATTATCAATAGGAGGGCTCCCAGATGAGAGTAACATGTAAAGGATGAAAGAACAGGAACTTACGTGAAATTGAGGGGTCTTATCAGCACGTTGAGGGGGCGAAAGAAGCCATGCTTAGTGTCTTGGCCCAACCTGGCCAACCATGTCCACCAGGACAGGCCCCATTGCTTCCTGGGGGAGTGGGCAGCTCGCCCACCTTGCAGCCAGGGATGCTGATTAGTTGTGTTCCCATTGGAAGGACCTCAAATAGTTAGAATTTGACACTTTGAAAATTAACAGAGGCCACAAAAAGTTCCCTGGAGACTCTTGAAAAGGAAAACTATTCCCAGCACAGGTCAAGGTTGATGCTGAAGTCATCGCCCTGGGAGGCCCAGGCTGGATGGTGCGATGGAAAGAATGTGAAATTGGGAGCCGGACAGAGCAGGTCTGGGCTCTAGTTGTTTAGAGTCCAGCTCTTAACCTGCTGGGCACCTGTGTGCGATTCATGAATTAATTGATTTGCCCATCTATTTATGCATTCTTTCATCGCTTACTGCACACCTGGGTGAGCCAGGTTCTGTGCTAAAGCAGGAACCCGACTGGTGCCCTTGCTCTCAGTCCCCATGAATCTGAGTAGCACCAGGCACTGAAAGCAGTGAAGTCACCTGTCCAGTGGGATGGAGTGTGGGAATCTGCGGGCACACATGGAAGGCAGGCACCGGGGATATCACCCAGGACGGTCCTGCTCGGTGAGGAGTGGGCTCAGCCAGGTGGTGCAGCTCAGCTGAGGAGAAACACCAGGAGTTCAGTGCAGGGAAGGGGGACTGTTTGGGGGCTTGGAGACCCTGGCAGACAACAAGTGGCTGAAATAGCCTCCAATAGGCTGAGAGATGGAGAGCGGGGTTGCAAGCAATGGTAGGACAGGATGAAGTCCGCGAGAGTTGCTGGAGAGTCTAGGGAGGCGTGGACCAGGGCCAGCCCTTCCTCAAGGTCAGCTCGCCCTCCACTGGCCACTATCTTCCCACTGGGACTCGGGGTCGGGAGCTGGGTGCCTGGGCTGGGGCTGGGGGTGGAAGGACCACCTCCTTGGTTAGACCCACTGGCTCGGGAGTCGGCTGGACCAGGGTCCAAACTTTTCCCCAGCATTTAAGTGATTTTGGACAATGAATCCACCTCTCTGAGCCTTGGTTTTCCAGTTGTGAAATGAGGATAAGGATCCCTGTTGACACATTCTGGCTCTCAGAGCTGCCTTGAGAATTCAGTGAATTTATGTGTACCAAGCATTTGTCACAGCACTGGGCACCCTGCAGGCCTGTAGCAAGGACAGGCACCCCACCTCCATCATCAGCATCTTTGCGTGGGCTCCTGGCAAGGGTTTTAGATGACAGCTTCAGAGCAGCAGAGATACATATATGTATAGTACATGTATGTCTGTGCATAGTATATGTACTCATATAGAGGAATCTATCTCTTTGGAAACTTTCTAATGCAAATTCCTGGGGCACATGGCCACTCTGTAAAACCTACATGCTCCCTGGAGCATCTGCAGCCAGTGGATACGCTCTGTAGCCCTGGAAGGTCCCTGGTAGGATGACGGGGCAGGAGGGGGGATTCACCCAGGTCCCCAGCCTCAGAGATAGTGGCCGCTCATTTCCTACCTTGGATTTTAATCCCTGGGCCAGCTGGTTCCCCTTTTGAGGGAGCAGACACTTCTAAGTCTGTACACTAGCAGGAGCAAAGCAGAATGAGGTGTGTCCCTTACACACCCTTCTTGAACCCTGGGCTGCATTAGGTGCCTCATTCATGGTCTTCTAGAGATACCATGGATCTCCCATTGGTCTCCTAGGTCTTGTTCTGCCCTAGCTCGCCCCCCGGGACCCCCTTTGAGGAGTCTACCCCCACCCCCACCCGAGGGAGCCTGTGTTCTCCAGGCTGCTCTCTCCAAGAGAGAGCTGGGGTTCAGGTTGGGCACTGCATGCACACAGCCGTCAGGGCCAGGCCTGCTGACCCAGACCGGTGTGCTGGGGACTCTGGCTTCTCAGAGGCTCGCGTGACCCCAGGGCCTGCAGGCTGGTATGTCGGCTGCTGTTCTGCTGGGCAGGTCGGCACTCTCCCCAGGCCATGCAGAAGATTCTGTGCATCGGGGGACATGGTGTGCTGGGAGGAAGCATCTCGTTCACGGGACGGGTCCGAGTTCTGGTCTAGGCAGCACCTGTCAAGTTGGGTTACAATTCCACCAAGCATACGCTGCCTCCGCCAGGTCAAGGTGGCTCCCCAGATCCTCAGAGCTGCCGTGCCCCCATTTCTCGCATCCACCCCTTCACCTACCCAGCTTGTCCCTGGTGCTACTCACCCCATCTGCAGCAAGAGAAAGGCAGTGCTTGGCCATCTAGGTTCTGAACCACTCGTGGAGAGCAGCCTGAGGCCAGAGGCCTGGGTTTCTTGCTCACATAGCCTTGTTCAAGTCCAGCTTCTCCCCTCATTAGCTCTGTGATCTTCAGCAGGTGTCCTCTTTGGGCTTCCATTTCTCATGTGTAAATGGAGATTATAGGATTAAATGTGTGGTGCTTGACATCTGAGTCTCATCGGAGGCCCTCGGGATGCTTAAGGCACCTGTCCATCCTGGGGATGGGAAATTGGGCCTCTCACCACCCGGCCTGCAGCTCTCTCTTCCATCCCAGGCCAGCCTGGCTGCCAGCCCTGAGCCCAGCACTGCTCTCAGAATGCTCATGGCACGTGCTCTGCTGGCCACGGGGATCCCATGCCCATTCCTGTGCCTGGCTAGTCCCCCGGGGCTCCTAGTTTCCCACCCTCTGCCCAACACACCCACTGTGCACCCCAAACAGTTGGACCTGGCATTTGGAGTGGGGCCAGGAGCCAACCACAGACTTGGAGCTGGGCAGGGCTGAGGGCAGGAAGGAAGTCTGTCTGCACTCTTCCTCTTTCTTCACCCCCGCATCTCCCTCCTGGTCCTGTGTGAACTGCCCTGGCAGAGCCACCAGGAGGCCAAGCTCCAGGCTGGGGAGACACGGGAGGAAGAGGGCTTACACCCAGACCCCTGCCCCAGCCCCAGACTCTTACTGAGCTTAGCACCCAGCGACACAGGTGACATGTACTGTTCATTGATCATGTCCCCTTCCGCTCAGGAGTGAGCCCTGGGCCGGGCCCTGGAGCCCAGTATGTACACACCCAGCAAGGCCCCCTGAACTCTGATTATGTATGAGTTACTGTCTCCTTAGAGTTTTCTGTACTTAATGGCATTTCTACGTAGAACATGTTTTGTTTAAAGCAAAAGAAAACTAGTGAGCGTGCTTTTTCTGGAAGCCTCCGCCTGTGGAAACAGGAGCCACGAGGCGCTATGTTGTTCAGTGGTAGGAGCACAGACGTGAGAGCCGGGCTCCTGGGGTCAAACCCCAGCTCCTTCCAACTGTGTGACCTTGGGCCGGTGCTTCTCACTGAGACTGTCTTCTTGCCTATAGAATGGGGAAGGCAGGTGCAGCCAGCTCACCGGGTTTCTGGGAGGAACATATGGACTGAGCCGTGTGTGTACTTGGAATAGCCCCTGGCTCGTGACAAGCACTGTCTGTGATGTTTGCTCCTATTACTTTTAGATTTTCTGGAAACCGTGAGTCAGTGACAGGTGAGGTGAGGAGGGATTTGGAGGGAAGATAAGTTAGCAAAAATCAGTGGTCACCCCCATCCCCCAAAAAGACGCACACAGGTATGAGATCACAAGGGATCTCTGTCTTGAAGTGGGCTCCTTGTGCCCAGCCACCCACGGGTGGCAGAGAGCATGTGCCCAGCCTCGGACACTGGAGTCCTAGGACCTGGCTGGGAAGCCTTGCTCCGAGCTTGATCGGGTGGGTTGGGAGGCCCTCAGGGCCTCTCTTTCCTACCTGTAGATCAGGTGTGGTACTCTGATCCTCAAGGGCCTGTTCTGAGGATTAAGTGAGCCAGTCTGTGCCCAGTGCACGGCCTGGTAAGTGCTCAGTACACCTCAGCTGGTACCACTGTTAGGACTTATCTCACGCCAGCAGGCTTTTCTGGGAATTCTTTTGTGTGTGTCTGGCGTTTGCGTCTTTCCTCCAAGCACTCTGGGGTGTGTGCTGGATTCTGAAGGCTGCCACCTTATCACCGGTTTATTTGGAAGAAGAAGGGGTGGGAACAGTTCCTACCCAGGGGTTATCTAAAGTGTGCAGTATTGCTGGGGGCAAGTGTTTGTTCTTGGAGGTGGAAAGATTGTCCTCTTTTTTTGGTATAAAATATGGACATACAGCACATACTGAGAGAGCAATTAGGAAAAAATGTTGAGAAAGCTCCTTGGGGTAGGGGGCAGAGGGGCCCAAAGGATGAATAGAAGATTGAAAAACAGTGAATTCTAAACCTAAAGGCGCCCTGGAGCCATAGGACCAAGAATTAGGATTGGGGTCTGGGGCCACCCTCTGCCTGGGCCAAGTTCCAGCACAGACCAGGGGACTTAAACAACGGAAATGTATTTTCTCCCGGTTCTGGAGGCTGGAACTCTGAAATCAGGCGTGGGTGTTTTTCGTTCTCTGAGGCCTCTCTCCTCGGTTTGTAGATGGTTGTCCCTCTGGGTGTCTGTATCCTAATCCCTGTTTATAAGGACATCAGTCAGACTGGATTAGGACCCACCCTAATGACTTCATTTTACCTCTTTCACCTCTTTAAAGGCCCTACCTCCATCCAGTTAAGTCCTGAGGTGCTGGGGGTTAGGACTTCAACATACGAATTTGAGGGGGATGCGTGTCAGCCTGTAAAACCCCTCGATAGTTCAAAAGACAGAACAAATCGGGGAGGATGGAGTCCCCGAGAGCCAGGTGGGTAGCCCCTTCAGTGGCTGTGAGGAGGTCTCTGCACAGGCTTGTCTGCCAGGCCTTGAGGCCATGCTGCAGGCACCAGCTGTTTGCCCCCTGGGGCCCCTGGAAGCTGCTGTGACCAGAGCAGAGCTGGAGCCCCATGAGCCCCTGCCGGTCACTCGCCCCGTCTTGACCCTCTGTAACAACGCACTGTAAACCTCCCCTCGTCCAGACCGGACCTGACCGCCGTCCCCTCTCGTTCCAGGTCCGACTATGATGACTGGAGACCGTCTCTGGCCAGCTTGCTTCAACCCATTCCATTCCCCAAAGAGTAAGTCCCACACAAATCTCCGGAACCCTCTGGCCCGAGAGAAAAACCCCCATCGCCGACCAAGGCCTTAGCAGGGGGACCAGTCAGCTCATGGAAGCACCTGGGGACACACACAAGCGTGGAACATAGAGATGTTGATCCTTAGTCCTCAGCTGCGGGGCCCTGGGGGGTACACAAACCTCCCCTCAAAAAACTGGGGAAGTCACCTCACTGCCCTGTTAGATGGTTGCACTGAGCTAAGAGTACAAAGCCTCCCCGCCGTGCCTTCACGCAGTAAAGTTAGCGGTTTTCATTGTGCATCAGACGGGAGTAGGAAAACCTGCCTCTCCTGTCTCCAGAGGTCATGGTAAAAATCAAAAGATGATGCGTGTGGAATTGCTTTATCCGCTCTACAGCAAACACTAAAAGCCCTCTTACTACTCGCATTACGATTATTAGCTCGTGCTCCATGTGAGTGGGGCCAGAGATGGACCCTTCCTTGTCTCTTGCCAGCCCTTATCCCAGTATTGAATTTACCCCAGGAAAATAGGGAGAAACCGCTTCTGGTGGATAATGGCCCAAGGAGAAGGCCCTAAATGCCTGCAGGCCTCTGTTTTGATAGATATGAAGAAGCCAGGCCCCAGGAGGCAGCTCCCAGCTCCTCCAGGAGCCGATTAACGAGCCAGTGTTTATGAAATGCGGCTCTCTGAGGGGGACATTACACTCAGTAATTGCCCCATTTGCCGGCCTGCCTGGTCCCTGGAGCCCCCAGGATTTGAGACCGGAGAAATCTGACTCCTGAGAGCAGTGGCGTCATTGGCTGCTGCCGCCGGGACGCACTTGACCCTGGGCCCCTGACGCAACTTGCCGGGAGAGCAGTCCCCAGTCACCACTCTGATGTATGGCGGTAATTAGTACGGCCGTACCTTAACTGCGGAACAATTAACAAACACACCTGGGTCCCTGGTGCCACGTGCACACACACACTCACAGGCGTCCCGGTGAGTGCCGCTCCTGTTTACAGGTGCAGGACCTGGGGGCACAGGGGGCCCAGCCTGTTCCCCTTACTCTAATCCATCACCTCATCAAAGGAGGCCTTTGTTCCACTGTTCCAATCAGGGGCAGAATGTTGGTGTTTCATGTTCAACCTCTTCATTCCTCGAATCAGACACAAAGCCTGGCTGTCCCCAGAGGAAGACCTCTGGGTCAATGTGCTGTTTCGAAAGCGCCCTGCTCACTGCACTTTTCCCTTTGTTTTTTGTTCCAGAGCTCTCGCACACGAGAAGTTCACCAAGTGAGTATTTGGGCAGTGCCCTTGTTAGCTTCTTCCGGGACGAATGTCCACTGTCCTGTGGTCATCCCCAGCTGCCAGCCCTCCTTCCGGCCCATCCTCTTCACGTACATTCTGGGAGGCAAGGATGGCTCCTCCTGAAAGTTCTCCCAAGACACGTGTCCAGACCTGTCCAGGCGTCTCCTGATCCCACCAGCTCAGCCAGGCTCCCCGCCCCTGCCCCAGCCCTCCCCTCAGCACCCCGTCCTGGTCCACCCAAGCCAGAACCCTGGGAATGACTCTGCCCCCACCCCATCTCTTTCAGGGAACTGAAGTATGTGATTCAAAGGTTTGCTGAAGACCCACGACAAGAGGTGAGGCCTCCCTCACTCCCTCGCAGGCATGCTGTCAGGGCTGCGGCAGGATGCGTGTGGCTGTCAGGGCCTCCTTGTCACCCAAGGGTGTTCAGAACAGTTCACAAAGGCTCCTTGCCTGTGCACAGACACAGCCCCCACCCCTGAGGATTTGAGCCTGGCCCGTGATGTCAGTGTTTCACTGTAAACTCAGGCTGCCTGAGGCGGTTTCCTACGCGTTGTCTCTTGAGCACATGCCTTGATGTAGGGCCAGGCTGGCATCAGGGCTCCTAACCAGCCCCGAGATAGCATTGCATGCTCTGTGGTACTGCCATTCTGAGAATCAGTGGCCAGGGAAGACACCTGAGCTGGGATCTGAGCCAAGTTTCATTTCCTGGGCATGACGGCCTATGGCCTCTCTGAGGGGCTACTCTGTCCCTCCAACAGCCAAGCAACAGCCAGATTTCAGGGCTGCCTTCCGTCCTGGAGCCTCTGTGTGAACAAGGACTCAGAGTGGGCCGGGAGCGCACTCAGCCGATCTTCACTGCATCACTGTAATGACAACATCCAGCCTTCACTGGGTGCTGCCCCATGTCAGGAAGATGCATTTTCTCACTTAATCCTCACGAGAATCCTATGAGTAGGAGCTATTATTAGCCCCATTTTACATCAGAATTACCCTCCTTTTGGGGTTACATGCCCAAGATCACACAACTGGTACATTGGCCGAGGCAGGATTCGAACCCACGGAGTCAGGCTCCAGAGCGTGCAGTAACCGGCCCTGCAGTGTGAACACCAGACCGGGCGGGGCTGCCCTGAGGCACTCAGGCCCTTCTCTGTGCACGTGGATTCTGGAATGTGATTTGGCTCCCAGGTAGGCGCAAGCTCAGGCACGGGCACCCCCAGCAGAGCAGGAGGACAAGGCCGGGCAGAGGGAGGGAGTTGTTCTCAGTGGAGCCAGAATATGTTCTCTTAAAGCCACACTGTAAAACCTAGTTCTAGAAGTATCTAGTTCTAAGTTCCATGATTCTATGTTTGATTCCAAAAGTGAACTTCAGGCACGGTGGGAGAAGGCAAAAACGGTAGACAGGGAGCTTTTAAATATCTGGGTACCAGCAATGGTCTCCGTCATTCTCAAACCTGAGCGTTCCTCACCATGCATGGAAGCGGATTTTCAGAATTCCCCTGGAAAGCAAGGCTTTATTTCAAACACAAAGTTTGACATTGATGAATAAAAGTACCAGCTGCTTCCCAGAGCAGCACAGCAGCAACACCAGGGGCCGGGAGGGGACTTTACCAGCCAGGGCAACACCCGCAAAGGGGCCGCGGACAAGCCCTGGCCTTGCCTCTCACTCCCAGCTCCTTTGACTTCCTCTCCGGGTTGTCTTCTCCCTCCCCTCTCCTCCCCTTCCCTCCCTCCTCCCTCCTAGATGGAGCCAGGAGTTGTTTTCTTATCAATTCTTTGTCTGTTGAATAGAGTTTGATACTCTTGGTTCCTTATTTCTTTGAAGCAGACAAGCTAACATTTGATCGTCTTCCAACTCAGAGGGAAAAATCAAAGCCCCACCACCCCTGTTTTCTGTTTATTTGTGTGTGGGTTGTGATCAATTGAGCATCTGTGAGTAAGTGACTCTGGGCAGCAGATCGTCCTTCAGTCCTGAAGGAAATGGTGGGACACTTCTCTCAGCTTCCTTCTGAGGACGGGGAGGAGAAGGAGAAACAAAAGCCTTTGTTTCTCTCTCTCTGCAATTACAGCAGGGCCGGGGTGGATGTGGAATTCCTCCCACACAAGCATACGTGTTTGCACACACACCACCCACACACAGACTCATGGAGCTCTGGGAAGGCATCTGGGAGCCATGGAGAGACCTGTGCTTTGGGCATTGAAATTGCCCCCCACTCTGGACAGAGACTCTTTCTCCTAACGAGAAGGTGGCCGAGTCCCAGTGAGAGTGGGAGAGGGAGTTTAACAAGACAGAGACCCACCCAAGGGTCTTCGCCCACAAGGGTGAAGTAGGGAGCTCAGGAGGGAAGCAGGCAGATGCCCTGGGAGTAAGGGTCAGTAGTAGAGGGAGCAGAAACCCAGAGTGAGCAGGGCAGAGGCTCGGAGAGAAAGGAGGGCAGAGAGAGAGGAGCTGGAGACGCAGAGACCCAGACAGAAAGGAGAAAAGAAATGCCCTCGTCAAAGGCATAGGAGAAGGGAGACTGGGTCTGAGCAGTCGCCTTGTGCCTCTACCCTGCCTTGGCCACAGCCTTGCTTTATTCAGGACAGTGACCTGAGCCAGGGCCCGGCCCTCCATCCCAGAGAGCTGGAGGCAAATGGCTGGAGTTCTGCGGTTTCTGAGTACCACAGTATTCCCCAGAAGGCTTTCCATGGAATTTAGTGAAAGGCTGGGAGTCTCTGGACTAAACAAAGTCAAACAGATCTCTGAACTGCAGGACTTGTCCTAGTCTTTGACATTTGCGTGTGTGGACCGTGGGCACTGTTAACGGTCGGGTCTGCAGGGAGCTGACTGAGTGCTTCTCTCTGTGGCAGGTCCACTCGTGCCTGCTGAGCGTGCGTGCTGGCAAAGATGGCTGGTTTCAGCTCTACAGCCCCGGAGGGGTGGCCTGCGACGATGACGGGGAGCTGTTCGCCAGCATGGTACGTTGGGACTGGACCGGAGCTGGGGAATCTCCAGGCTAAAAGGATGCTGCTGCTGGTGAAAACAGCAGTGGTGGCAACAGCCACGAATGTCACTTTATTGTTTCTTACCTGGGAGGCACTGAGCCAAGGGCTTAACAGTCCTGCTCTCACTCAGGCTCCCTCAGGATGTGAGGAGGTGACACCTCCTGTCACCCCATTTTACAGAAAAAGCGTTAACTGCCCAAGCTCATATGGTTTGCTGTAGTGGCAGGCGACATTCAAGGGACTGAGTGCTTCAGGTGCACAGGGATCCTAGAAGGCGCTGCAGATCCACCAGCTTGTCTAATCTTTGCAATAAGGTCAGGATGACTGGCCCACCTTGGAGATGAGGGTCTGAGGTCACCAAACCCATAACAGCATCCTTGGTGACTTCCAGTACTTTCTTTGTGCACAGTATCAAACAGTCTTCATGGCAACCCTATCCCTTAACTACACCTATATTGAAACAGGTCCAGAGAGGTGCAGTGGCCTGCCCAAGATCACACAGGTCTCTGGCCTCCAAGTTCCTCTCTTGGCCAGGCTCACGCTGTCCAGAGCTGGCTCTTCCTCCAGTAGCAGAGAGTGGCCGTCTGGTGAAAGGCAGCCCAGAAGCCCCTCCCCCAAGGCAGGTGCTCCTCTGGGTGGCCTAGTCTGCTTACTGACAAAACTATCTCTGTTCCACAATCACGCATGTTCCACTCCGTGAGAAGGCACAAGCCTCGGCCAGACCTGGCTAAGGTTGCAGCTGCGCTGTGCTAGCCTGATATCCTTGGACCAGTAAACTCCCTCTCTGGGCTTCAGTTTCCTCATCTGTGGAACAGAGTGCTCAGTGCTGGTGTCTCGGGGTCACCATGGCAATTGTCTGCACTAATAGATGGGAGGTGACCGGCCAGGGCCTGACACACAGTCAGTGCTTGGAAGTGATGGCTGTGGTTATTCGCATCCCTCTTGGGCGGCCAGTTCTGCTGGGTGAGCAGCTCAGAACACCGCAGCGAACTTAGTGGCCGTGTTTGCGCAGTGACGACAAACCCAGACACCGCCTCTGGAACGTTTCTTGAAAGGGGCTTATTTTTAGGTTCCTTTCCTTATGCACTCGCTCTCCACCCCTTACCTGCAGCCTGACGGGTCCCCTTTGAGTGGCCTGTGTGTCCTGGAAATGCCGGTCCTGCCTGCCTGCACCACCTCTCTCTCACCTCTCATGGGCTCCTCTGATGTCACAGCTTCACCATGGCAACGCCCTGTTGTTCCCCCACCCCTTGGTGTGGGGCCTCTGTGTGAGAAGAAGTCAGGGAGCTGGCAGCTTCCCAGCCTGAGAGATTGCATTTGTGTGCCAGAATTGTTAATGATGGAGCAGAAAAAAAAATATACGTGGGGAGGAAGGCAGGCAGCCCCTGGGATGGCAGTGCATCGTTTCCATGGAGATGCATGGCATGGAAGAGGTCCCCTTGATTAGGCTGCCGTTGCCAACCGTGGAAGGGCGTTTGTTCTTACGTGAAGTCAGAGGGAGAGCAAACTAGGTGTTTGGCCTTCCAGCCCGTTGGTTGGGGACCCCTGCCCTTGGGCTTCATCCCCAGATACAGCAGAAAGAAACACAGTTTTCTTAATGCCTGCTCCACACAAAACCCGAGATGGAGCAGAATTTACCCATTCTTGAATTTCTAGAGCAGGTGATCTCTCATAATACCTTCAGGGCTCACGGAGGGCTTGGGGAGGGGAGATAGGGCTCCATACGGTCCCCCGTCCTGCATGTGAGGGCTGGGCCTGTGTGCCCTGAGCAAGGGCTGTCCAGAAGTTTCCTCCAGGTTCGACAGTGCTGAGAAGGGCCAAATGTCCACAGAATCCCAAGGGGAACAGGAGAGGGAGCTTGTGTGTGTGTGGCGGGGGGAGGGGGTAAAATGTACATAACATAATTTTTACCATCTTAACCAATTTTTAAGTGTACAGTTCTACAATCATCACCACCATATGTCTCCAGAACTGTTTCATCTTCCCAGACTGAAACTGTCCCCACTAAACTCCCCAGCCTCTCCCCCAGCCCTGGCCCCCGTGCCTCTCCTTTCTGTCTCAGTGACTGCCTCACGGTCCCTCCCATGAGTGGGATCTTACAGGATATGTCCTTTGGTGACTGGCTTGCCTCACTCAGCACAGTGCCCCCGAGGTTCATCCATGGTGGAGCCTGTGTCAGAGAGAGGCCTTTTGAATCCCCCAGGGAGGGTCTGGTGATCATTTCAGATCTAGTGTCCAGGCAGGGCGTGGACTGTGTCTGATCCACGTCTTCTGGTTTCACGATCCTTTCAGCAGGCACCATGGGCCACAGCCCCCTGGCGGTCACTGCCCTTCACCTGGGCCATCTCTCCTCACAGGTGCACATCCTCATGGGCTCCTGTTACAAGACCAAAAAATTCCTGCTCTCCCTGGCAGAAAACAAGCTGGGACCCTGCATGCTTCTCGCGCTGAGGGGGAACCAGACCATGGTGGAGGTAAGGAGCCAGCCCGGTCCCAGCAGTGCTGCCGACTCGCCGGCCTTTGTCCTTGTTGTTGGAGCACCTCCTCGGGGCCCAGAGCTTGTGCTGGAGCTGAGGACAGGCAGCGGGCAAGGCAGGCACAGCCCAGCCCTCCTGAGTTTAGCGGGAGCAGGAGGCCGTCATCAGATGATTTGTTAATGTCACTTTAATTTCACTTGTGATCTGTGTTGGTCCAGGATCGGGCATGTTTCTGTTCCATTTGTCTGCTACTGCAGAACAGACCACCCCCAGGTGGGGGCTTCAAACACTAATACTCATCTGTTTTACTCATGGGTCTTGGGGTGACTGGGCTCAGCTGACCACTTCTCACTCTGGGTCTTTCATGGGGTCACAGTCATTGGGATGGGCTGGGTCCTCCCAAGGCTGCTTCCCTCACGTGTCTGGCACTGGGCTGAGGGGACTCCACCAGTGGAGACTGGAGCAGGTGGGGCTCCCAGGTGGCAGAAAACAAGCTGGGACCCTGCATGTCCACACAGCAGTCTTGGTCATAGCCTTCCCACCCACCAGGGAGCACATGCCAGCCCAGGTACTCATATCACTTCTGTCTCCCTGACAGTCCCCAGATGTCTGGGGCTCCCAGAGCCACTGTCCAGAGAGAGATCAGGCAGAAGTCATATCACTTTAACTCAGCCTCAGAAGTCAGGCAGCATTACTTCTGCCACTTTCCACCCATTAGAAGTGAGTCACCAAGGCTGGCCTGTAGTCAAGGGGATGGAAATTAGACTTCATCTCTCACCGGGAAGAGCATCAAAGAATTTGACCACCTGAGCTTCCTGTGCAAGTGAGAGTTATGGTGGATGAGATTTGAGGACCAAGGAGGAGTTAGCAAGAAGGCAGGAGCAGAGCATCCCTGGCCGTGGGGACATCATATGTCAAGGCCCTGTGGCAGGAGAACAGGGAGGAGGCCAGGGTGGCTGGAACACGGTGACTCCAGAGGATGAGAGGCTCGGGATGCCGTAGACATGTGTGAAGAGCCTACCAGGTACTCGAAGGTCCTAGGGAGTTGCTCGGCGTTTGATCCACATGCTTGTTCCAACCACCTTGTACAGGGGAACTTGCGGAGAGAGGACTGAGCAGAGAGATGGAAGGCAGATGTTCCCCAGGGCGCCAGCTCAGTGTCTTGAACATCTACTATGTGCCAGGCACCAGGGGAAGAACGAGGGATAGAAAGAGGTGTCTTGTCTTTTGGGTTCTGCCAGCCCTCAGGGGCCGGGTGTATATTGTGCCTACACGTGTTTACCAGGATGTACTGTGCACTCAGTGAGTGTCCACTCACGTTCCCATGGCACAGAGGGGACTCTGGGTAGGCAGTTTGCCCACCATCACACAACCGGAAGTGCAGAGGGCAAGGGAGAGAGCATGGTTCTTGATTTTTGCTGTATGACCTTGGCGTGCACAGGGCATGCTGAGCTTGGCCCCGTCTCCGGGCGTGTGGGGCTGCTGGGACAGGCCGAGGGTTTGGGCCCAGAGTCTCGGGCTGGCAGTAACACGCCTCCCGGCTCTTGCGGGCAGATCCTGTGCCTGATGCTGGAATACAACATCATTGACAACAACGACACTCAGCTGCAGATCATCTCAACCCTGGAGAGCACAGGTGTGGGCAAGCGCATGTACGAGCAGCTGTGCGACCGGCAGCGGGAGCTGAAGGAGCTGGTGAGTCCGCAGCCTGACTCCCGGGGCTCCCGCGCTCAGCCAGCCTGAGCACGGCTGGGTGTCGTGGGGCAGAGCCCAGAGACCGTGGCACCTGTGCGGGCCTCTGTCTCACTGAACGCTCCTCCAGACCCAAAGGTGTCGGAATTACCAGGCAGGTTACCAGATGATCAGAGAGGTCAAGTCCATGGGTCAATGTCAAACAGCCCATGTGTGGCCTGGCCAGGGCTGCATCCTGTCTCGGCCTCAGAGCCATTCATGGCAGTCGCTGTCTCTGCACACCCTCCCTCCCCCACATCCTGTAGGCCCTTCATTTCAGCGAATGGAGGCTTAATTTCCAAATGCCAGCACCCGCACCTCTTGGCCAAAGGATTTTCCCTGTCCACGTGCACAGCAGGACAGAAGGGGTAAAGAATTCACGCCCCCCTGGTCTCCTGGAACAGCTCTTAACCAATGACTAATGGGAGAAGATGTATAAATACTCACCTTAAGGTGGGATCTCCCTGAGACGTGACTCCTCCACTATGTCCCAGGGGCCCCAGGGGTAGATGGGGTAATAACACCCTCTTCCTTTAGTGGCCTACACAGCCTCACTTCCCCACCCCCCTGCTGGCGTTTCTTGGGATCACCCCTCTAATAAACCACCTGCCTTCGGATATCGCCATGGGGTCTGCCCCTGAGACCAAGACCACCGCGTTGCCTTCTACTACCAAGAAATACAAATAGTGCCATGAGAGGTGTTAATAGAGGCGGAGACACAGGGTGGAGTCTCAGGGAAGAGAGTCGGGGTGTAATCAGTCTGACTTCTGTTGCAGCAAAGGAAAGGCGGGCCCACCAGGCTAACACTGCCCTCCAAGTCCACAGTGAGTTGTTTTCATTCTCCAGCCGGGCTGGGTGGAGGGAAGGTGGGTTCGTCCTCCCTGGTGGGGAGCAGCAGACATTGTCTGTTGGAGGTGATGAGGGCAGGTGAACAAGGACCCCGTGGTACTTGACAAGCCAGCTTTTCCAGGAGGGAACTGGGTTGCAGGAAACCACACATTATGATAAAGATTATAGTTGATATTAATGTTGCTATGTTATCAGTTATTCATAGTAATGGCAATAATAGCTAACATTCATTGAGCATTCACGTATCAGATACTGTACTCATAGTTCATTTTATCTTCACAACAAGCCTATGAGGTTGATGCCTCTTTCCTTCCCCATTTTACAAAGTCTTCAGGGATCTTATTTCCTTCTGTCTTGCTGCCCGACTGACCTTGGCTCATAGCTTCCACTTCATGGTCCAAAAAGGCTGCTCAAGCTCCAGCCATCTTGTCTCCATTTAAGCCAGGAGGAAGGAGGACGAGACAAAGAAGAACATGCCCCTTCCCTTTAAGGACCCTCCTGGAAGTCCCACTGGACACATCTGCTTATATCCCATTGTCCAGATTTTAGCACATGGCCTCACCTGGCTGGAAAATTAGCCTTAATTCAGGGCAACCAAGTGGCAGCTAAAACTCAAGGATTCTATCACAAAGATGGAAAGGAAAATGGGTATTACCCTCAGTGGGCTCAGAGTCTAGTGCTTCCATACTCACTGATCTCTGTTGGTCTTAGAATTGGGGGGCCTCGGTGCTTGCAGGTGGGAAAAGGGCGCGAGCTGCCATCTGGGAAGTGAGATGGTTGGACTGACACATGCACACACGCCTGGGGGAGGGACATGGCCTCAGAACACCCCAGTCATGACTCAAGGTGTGAGTCACAGCACTGAAGGCTTTCTCCTGGCCAGGCAGCTGCCACCCATGGAGACATGCACCGAGGCAGCCCCACCCTCCCTGACGCCCCTCCCTTGGCCCAGCCCACTGGGCCATGATGTCCCCTCAGCTGCAGCTTTCTTGGGGGGAGGGGAGAGGAAGGCCCAAGGCCTCTCCTGAGACCCCGCCTGCCCATCCACATTCATCCATCTGCAGGATGCCGACTTGGCTCGTTTGCTGAGCTCTGGCTCCTTTGGAAACCTGGAGAACCTCAGTTTGGCCTTCACCAATGTAACCAGTGCCTGCGCTGAGCACCTCATCAAACTGCCTTCTCTCAAGCAGCTAAACCTGTGGTCCACTCAGGTACAGGCAGCCTGCCCCGCACCCTGCTCCCTGCCCCCTCCCCCCTCCTCCCTGCCCACTGGGCACCCCTGCCCCATTCCTGCCCTGCACCCTCCTCCATGGCTGGCCTTTCTGCCCAGAACCCAGGGGTCCAGTTGCTTGATCACACCACCGCCTCCCCAACTCAGCGCCCATGTTCCCCAGAGTGTCCGAGGCCAGAGGAAGTTTAGGCTTTCGTGAGCCCACTGGCCCGTTTCACAGTTAGAGTTGCCAAGGCCCCAGAGCAGGGATGTGCTGGGCAGTCTTAGAGGTGCTGAAAGGTGGAGCCGACATGTGCAGTGGGGGTGGAGGTGCAGCTTGTGGATCTGTTTGTTATAACAATGACCACAGTACCCAGTGCCCGCTGTCTGTGTGCAGCATTGATTGAGCTGTTAAGCACTTGGCGTGGATCAGCACGTGTGGTTCCCCACCTCCCGTGTGAGGTGCAGACCCTGCAGCACCCTCACCTCACAGCAGAGAGTGTTCCCAGCTGTCCTACTGTCCCACCCAGAGGGGGGCTGCCCTGTAGCCACGAGTCACTGAGTTCAAAGTGCCCCCAGACAGATGGCAGCACCATCTCCTGGCGGGGCCCTTGTCTGGTCCACGTCCACCGGCAGAAGCTGGATTTGAACCCAGGGCACTGGAGTCTCTGAAGAGAAGTGAGAGCAGGTCCTGAGGTGTGAAGGGCCCAGGGCCTCAGGACCATGATCTGTCCCTGTCTCCTTCCTCCACCACTGCCCCAGCCCCAGCCTCGGAGTCGAAGCCCCAGGGGGCCCCGGGGACCAGAGTTGGTCTCCAGGCTGAGAGGGTCTCTGCCCCACAGTTTGGAGACGCCGGCCTGCGGCTCCTGTCGGAACACCTCACCATGCTCCAGGTGCTGAACCTGTGCGAGACGCCCGTCACCGACGCCGGCCTGCTGGCTCTCAGCTGTGAGTCCATTCATTCGTTTGTGCATTCATTCATTCAGTCATTCACGTGGCAGATGTAACACCACGCACCAGGCGGTGTGCTGGGGGAGTTCCCTGCCCTCGTGGAGCTCGTATTCTAGAGGAAAAGGGAAAACATGAGTAAGGCCCAGCCCAGACCCTCCTGATGCTGTCACGCCGGGAAGTGGTTAAAAATGCAGACTCTAGGGCCCTGCCCCATACTGCTAACTCAGAAACTGCGTGAGTGAGCCTCACGCACATTAAAGTTTGAGAAGCACTTCCCTGGTAGAAGGAGCCACAAAACACACGAGGAACCGAGACTTGCCGATTCCTGTACCTTAACCCGAATCTGCTGACCTCACGTCTTGGGCGATGTGGAGCCTGGGAGTGTGCACTTCCCGTTTCAGGTTTGGATGAGAGGCCCTGTGCTTCAGCTGGGAGGAATCAAGAAAGGCTTCCCAGGGAGGTGACTGGATCTGAGGGTGAAAGATGTGAAGTGGCCAAGGGGGAGGCATGCTGGGCAGTGGCCATGACTCCTGCAAGGTCGGTGGCACGTTCTGGGTGGCTGGGGAGGGGTGAAGGTCCTCCTGGGCCTCCAGCCCCTCCCTCGGTGCCTTCAGGAGTGGGAAAGCACACTGCGTCTTCAGCGGGCTTTCTGTGCTCCCCTTGACGCAAAACCGAAGTGTGAGACCTGCTTTCGAGGAGCTGGGGCCTGAGTCAGCTTCTAGTAGGAGAGCTTCTGGGGTTTCCTTGAGAGATTAGGGCTTGTCTGCAGTGTGGTAGGTGAGCTCTGGGGACATTTGGAAGTGGGCAGTGCAAGGACAGGACAGAGGAACCAGAAGGGAGGGAGGCTCAGAGGGCAGGGAGAGGACAGAGGCCCAGTTCAGATCATCACCCACCTGAAATAAGATGTTCTGTACTTAATGGCCCCTGGCTTTGCCTCTGAAACTCCACCTCCTCCACCCTGTCTCCTAAACAGAGGCCTTGGAAACTCAGTCAGAAACCCCAGCTTGATGATCTTGTACCTACAGCTGCCCCTGTGGGGGTCTCACTGACCTAGTGACTGTCTGTCTGTCCTTGTACAGCCATGAAGAGTCTCTGCAGCTTGAACATGAATAGCACCAAGCTCTCGGCTGACACCTACGAAGACCTGAAGGTAATCCCATCTTCCTCTCTTCCTTCCTTCCTTCCTTTGCAAGTGTGAAGGTCCTGAGGCAGAAAGTGTTGGCACAAACTGACTTTGTAGCAAATGAGACTAGAAAGCAAGAGACAGACTGGGACCAGATGAAATAAGCCCTCATAGGTCACGGAAGGACTCTGGATTTCATCCAAGTTCAGTGGAAAGCTTTCAGAGGCTCTAAGCAGGGTGATGAGTTGCATTTTTTAAAGCTTGTTCTGGCTGTTACATGGAAAATAGGTTTTTGGAGTGTAAGAGTAGCAGCATGGAGAACTTTTGCAGTCACATAGCTGACAAATTAGAATCAAGGAAAGAAAGAGGATCTGAATTGTGGAAGGCAGGCATATTTTGTTTGTAAAAAGGCGTGTCTTGTCAGGGTTGGATGGGCTGGGCCTTCAACAGGCTCCTGGGCCCAGAGGAGTGGGCGTGGCCGCAGAGCCAGCGCCCTGGGAGGGAAGGGCTAGGCCAGGAGACACAGATGGTGCCAGGAGCTCACGGGCACCTGGGATCCCTAGAATCCAATGGAGGGGGTCCTCCACAGCTCTCAGCCGAGGCCCACCACCAGCAGGACCTCCCTTCTAGCTTCCCCTCCAGCTCAGCCAGACAGGCAGCCTGGGGTGCTCACTCCGTGGCCAAGCCTCCAGATGCACCACCTACTGTGTGCCAGGCCTGCGCTGAGGACAGAGACGCCAAGGTGTGGCTGGCTCACTTGTGCCCGGCAGGAAGCTCAGTCCCGGCAGACAGAATATCATAGCAAACTGAGGCAGAACGGGGCTCTTGGGCCAGCAGGGAGGGGATGAGGGGATGGCCAGCTCTGCTCATTGGGGTGGAAGAGCTTCCCTGAAAGGGAGTCTTAAGAAGTGAGTCTGCCAGGCAGGGCAAAAGAGGGAGACTGCTAAGGTGCCCGAGGAGCACGTGGAAAGCAGAGGGTAGGGGCTGCGGGAAGGGCCAGGGCAGGCGGCCAGAGGGCCTGCCCAGGGGGCTCAGACCCCGGTACCATCAGCCTCACTCAGAGGTCATCGGACAGGCACCTCCCAGACCTGCCAAATCAGGTGGGCATTTTAGCCCCAACCCCAGGGACCTCACTGAAGAAGTAGAGGTGTTAGTGCTCCAGAGTCCAAGTGGGAAAGAGTTGTAATGAGCCAGCCGCCTGGGAAGAAAGGTCCCATTCAGTCGGCGTGCACCTCTCACACATTTGGGAGACACGTGGTGCTGACTTGATGATCCTGGCCAGTGATGCCCGGCCTCTGTTTCAAGGACTCAGGGCAGACTGGAGGCTGCCTGCCATGGGGGAGGCGGCCTCCACTCTGTGCCAGGCAGGTGAGGCTGGGCAGTTCTTCCCAGTTTTCAAGAGAACCTGGAAATCTAGATTCTTCGGTTGCAGTCTCCTAATTTTGAAAGGCTGGCCCGAGTGTTTTTTAAATAATACTGCACTGGTGACTGCCAGCGTAGTTGATAACCTCTTGCTGGGCAGTGGGGAGCCATTGAGGGTTGTTGAGCACTGGAGAGGAACAGTGAGGAATTGTGTGTGTGTGTGGTGCATGTGTTAAAAGATCATACTGGCCAGTGCACAGGAAAGCTGGGGAGGCAGGAAGTAAAGGCAGGAGGCCAGTTAGCAGCCTCTCTGTACAGTGAAGGCTTGTTCAGAAAAAGCCAGCTGTTTATAAAAGAAGGCTGAGAGAAAGCACATCAGGTGGCAGGGATGGGAAGCAGGAAGCAGGTCTCGGAGGAGCAGATGTGATCCTGGAGTCCAGCAACAGTGGGAAGGCTCTCAGTGACCCCTAGCTGTAGCTTATGGACCCCCCTTCACTCTTCCTGCCTGACCCCTGACAACCGTGAGGCCACAAACAGTGGTCAGAGTAAGAACAGTCCCGTCTTTAGAGCACGTGGCATTGTCTTGGACAGGGCGCTCTGGCTTTGCGCTGCATTTGGGTTTAGTCCCTCGCACCGTGCTCTGAGCCCAGGACTGGACTCGGATTCCATCCACAGATGAGGAAACCATCTCCCAGTGGCCGGGGCTCTGCCCAAGGGCACTCGGCAGCAAGTTGCAGGGCTGGGCCTCACACCCGGGGCTTCCTGCCCTCGGGGGCTAGCCACATCCCACCTGCTGGGTTCTCCCTGAGGTCCTCCAGCTCCGAGCTCAGGAGCCCCCAATCGTGGCGAAGTGGGGACACGGCGGGAAGGCCAGCCACAGCCACCAGCATGGGTGGAGCTGGGCACCGACAGATTCTGGAAGGGACTGGATCCTTCTCGCTTCCCTGTAGGCCAAGCTTCCCAACCTGAAGGAGGTGGACGTCCGCTACACAGAAGCCTGGTGAAGCTCCCGCTCGGCAGGAAGGAGTTTGCATCTGCAACACATAACTCTTGACTGATAGCCGTAGAGCAGCGGGGCCGGGTCCCACCCTGCATCCTGGCTGTGAGATAGATGGGGGGAGTCTTTCTGGGGGCAGGAGGGCGGAGGGGGGAGGGGGTGGGGAGGGGTCTGGTAAGCACGCCCAGCCCCCACCTAATTCTTTAGCTTCATAATCGGAAACCCTGACCTGATCTAAAACGGCTTTGTAGCAACCAGAGGAGCGTCAG